AGTATCGGCAGGTACCGATCGATAGGTTTTCATTTCATGCAACGTTCGTACTCTCTACCTTTCACAGCCATTCATGAGCTATTCCTAGCAAATCATTACCCCACGTGCTAAAACGCAAGGCTCAAGAATGCTGAGCCGTTGTTGAAAGGTGGGGTGGGGTGAGGGGACGTCGAGACTCGACTCTCAAATGTTGAATTGCAAGATGAGACAAGTTAACAAGTCATTATTATCTAAGTAGAATGTCACTGGGATATGTCGACCATCGGCATCATTAAATCTCGTATAAACATAGCGGGTGGGCAATTTTTAGGTAATAATGTAGAAACGTTTGGTGTCAAAATTTGTAATTATTATTATTGAATTGGCCTGTCTGGATGATGTTGCCATGTCCCTTAACCAAGTGACAATGGCCGTTGTAAACTACTCTTCAGCATCGAGGTACAAGTAGCGGGAGTTTATAAAGTCAGACCTCAATGCAATACTCGAGCGGCATAATCTCGCGTACATTGACTTCGGTGAGAGACATGATAGATGCTATTTCAAGTTTGCAATAAAATCAATTTGGATATCATGGAAAGTACTAACAAGATTATCCAACCTCCCTCTGAAAAAGTTTTGAGATTAGGATAATTGATTCTTCAACAATCAAGGCTTGCTAGCCAGCTCCGCTGCCAATTTATCCTTCGTACCTGATGTTTCGGCTGGTTCAGGCTTCTTTGCAGGCTCAACAATATTTTCGGACATCGCTTCAGCTGCTGCTTTCTTGAGTCTCTCCGCATCATCCATACGGACTTCTTTGCCACCAACTCGATCTTTAGACTCCTTTTCGTCCTCGCTATCTCCAAGGCTGAATGGGTCATGGTCGTTATCAGCGTCGCCGATGGGGCTGGGCTCCATTGCATTCAGTGGTTGCCATTTGCTCTGTTTGGCTGATGGAGCATTTTCTTTTCCGCCGAGTTTGGGTGACGTGCGGTACAGATCATCCTCCACCGTAGCAGTTTGAAATGATACCTTCCGACCTTCAGCTTTTGGAGCACTAGGGGTAGGTTTGAAAAGATCGGGATTTGCAAGTGGACGTGTAGATCGGCGGGCTGCAGGAGAGGGTTGATGGTAAGCATTTGAAGGTTGGCTTGCGCGAGAAGCATTACCTTCGTGTCTACTGCCATCCTCATTGAGCTGAATTCCAGCGAAATCGTCACCGAGAACCTGAGGATCTGCATCATATCGATTATAATCCCCACTCTGTCTGCCTTCCCCGCTTCTCTGGGAGCGATACTGTGTGTGTTGACTGGGATTGTAGCCCTGATTGGAAGGTCTCTCTTCTGTGTCATCTCCATCAAGCTTCTTCTTCAAATTGGTAATCCAACCATTGACTGTACTCTGTGTCTCAAGAAACCCCTTTCTAAGATTCTCTTTGATAACTGGGAGATCATCATCGAAAAAGCTATGTTCATCCTCCTCGCCGTACATTTCATTTGGTTTCAATCCAGTCTGTTTGCGACCTTGAGGAAATGCACCCCTGGAACCGCCTCGAGCTCCATGTGGGCCATACGATGATGATGATCCTTCGTAATGTTCTGCAAGTTGACGTGCGTATTGTTCATCTGATTCAAGTTGTGATTTTGGAGTAGAGCCGACTCGTTGCGCCTGGGGACGAGGGGGCTGTGGAGGGGGAACTTCAATCGCAGCATCTGGATCTGACATGCCTATGGATATCGAGTATTAGGAATGTGATATAATGCGACAGGAATACAAGCCTACCCAGAAGAGCATTGAAAGCAGGCTCAACACGACCTCCACTAGCAATTAAAACCGCCTTGACTACTGCTGCATCAATGCTTGGGAAAGCTTCTTTCAGAGTATGCTCTGCTTGTTGTTGTGGGCTTAAGGGGCGCGGAGGCTTTTGCGGGGGTAGCTCATCTGCGCTCTTATTGTTCGATGCTGGTACATCTCCGCCAGTAGTACCTTCTTGTGCATCATCGTCGTCCATATCGAATGGCGCTACAGTGGTTGGAGATTCTGGAGGAGGGCTTCTACTCTGAAAAAAGGAAGTGAGTTAGGAATTAATTATTTCATAATCTATGTCGGAATAACGCATAAAGTTGTGGAATCAAGGAATGTATCATGTATTAGCTTACAGGGCTCTCTGTTTTTTTTGTTGGTGTAGACATTTTGTAGTGTACCGAAGTCACCTTTGTCAAATGGCTATTGAGAAGAAGAAGTTCAGGTGTAGCGTGCGTATATGAATTATAGAAATGTGTTCAAGATCTTAGGAATGGTGCTAATTAGGGATGATAGATAGATAAATGGTTTCTTGCCTAATCAGATTCTGGAAGCTGTCGTAACCCCACTTGCAATTGTGGCACATTTTCTCCGCTTTGTGGCTGAGCGAAATACATGTGATTCCCTTCAAGTTTGTCCAATCAGCATGAGGTATTCTTTAAGCCGGTACCTAGTAGGTATTGGAACATCATCAGGTATTAACTTTATCATCAGCCTGGGCATTAATCCCACTCAATGAACATCATCACTAATAAGTACTAGAAATGCTAGTCATTTACTTGCAATATCAGTGATATCTACAGACGATACTGAACACCAAATATTTTATATTTTCGTCATCTTTTTACCTGATCTCTCTTTACATACCCAAGTATCTAAATCGGCCAAGACATCACAAAGTTTGGTTAGAAAGACTCGAGAAGTTTATCCACCCAGTACCGAATGGCATAGTGATTTTATATCTCTGAATCGTTCCGATGAAAGTGTTGAACAGAGAACCATAGAAAGACAGTACGCAATGAAGCAACAATCTCGAAGGAACAAAGGAACCACCTCTTCCACTCACATTGCTGTCCGCAGGACAACATTTCTTTCAACCTCTCAACCAAAATCTCCTCATAGAATCGGTGTCTAATTGCCGTTTTTAGTATTCAGTACTTCGAAGACGCCTCCAACGATGTTAATACTGTGATGTCTTGAGTTACGGTATCGATTATGTGACATGAACGAAGATTTTGGATCTTGAAGATGATTGATGTGTATTCCAGCGAACCTCATGAGACTAGAGTTTTTGACCGACATACCATCTGAAGCCAAATAAGACATTCAAGCAACGCCCATGAGAAATCGTCCATGTTTGCTTCATTACACATTATTGGTCAAATTGTTCCAACACTGTGACTTAGACAGACATCAAATGATGGGGCATGCTGGGTAACCATCAATGATAAATGCAAATAATGCTGTATGCGACAAGTAGAATTTGCCTATAAATGCTGTCCAACATGAGTTGGCCTGATTGATTGATTGATTGATTGATTGATGTGTATCTCTGTGAGATCATGGATTGTAGACATTTCGACTTCCAACCTATTCATCCAAAGCGATAAATATTAGAATAAAAGTATAACAGACCGATGATTTATTAATGTCAAAACTATCTGACATATCTAAATCTCCAGATCACCAACGCAACGATTTTTCAGCGGAACATCTACAAAAGGATTGATCAAAGGATTAAGCAGTGCTGTGCTATCCTTTGTTTGTCATTGCTTTCCTGCTAGTTAATGCTATCATACCTTTCTTGGTTAAATTCCCAAATTCTCTGCTTTGAATAATTCATGGTTTCAGGTGTGCGTGGCAATGCTTATATTTCGAAGCCCAAATCATCACCTGAATCTTGAATTTCAATGTGACGGATAGAGAGGGATGCATCGGATCATGATGCTCATGATCCGATAAAAAACTAAATGATCAGCCACCTGTTCAATATCCAGTGTCTAAAAGAAGAAGAGGAGGAGGAGGAAGAAAAAGAAGAAAGGGGTCACCCTCGCAATCTCTTCACCCAATAGCTCAAGATAAATGGGTGTGATGGTACGCACATCAAATTGCTGTTTCCGGGGATTGTATAATGTTGCAAGCCTCGTCTATTGTTGGTGAAAAAGAATGAGTTGGTTTTGATCTTTGGCGCCACTCTGTCTGTGCAGATACCTGGTATTCATCCTTATGTGGTGGATAAAATTCTTTCTTGATACTTCTTGGGGGTTACAAATTTGGTAAACAATGTCGGAAAGAATGACCGAGATGTCCTTAGGGTAGAGTAAAGAGAGGGGAGAGGGCGGACACATGGTGGAAATACTTGACTATCCGGAGCAAAGGGAAATTTGTAACGAAGACGAAGACGAAGACGAAGACAAAAGTTAAAAGTCAAGATATATATATAGTAATGAATAGTAATAAAACCAGTTTATCACTCACTCTGTTCTTACTTCCATTAGATTGGCGGCCCCTTCTTTTAGACTCTTGTCGTCTCTACCTTCCAGCAATGTCTTGCTCATGACGTGAGATTCCGTTGATTGAGGGATGCGATGAGAGAGAGTGGAATGAGTGGAAAAGCGACCGGCTCAATATATGTAGATATACACACATATATATATACCTACTACCTCCCTCATACTTACGTGGATGGAGATGGGGTTTATGAAGACCCAAGTACCGGTGGTAAAAAGTTTGATCATGATGTCCATCTCGGCGTTACCTCTCCTGCTTTCCAAGCATCCAATGTTCGATGGTCAGGCCAGGGATTACGGAAGGAAGGAATAATAAGGAGATTGAAAAAGAAAAGGCTTACCTACCTCGTAGTACCTTACTGAAACTGGAAATGGATGATAACGATGAATTAATACATACTACTTACGGCATCTACCCAGGTATTCGTGGATGGATCGATTCATTCATTCATTCATTGAAGCTGGAAATAGAAAATGAATGAATACCGTATAAAATATCAGATTTCAAAAGAAATATATAACTATATGTATAATTCTTGATAAGTGATAAAGAAAAGAAATAACTACATACAAAAATACAAAATGTAAAGGAAATCCATCATATCAACGAGTAATAATAAGTTAGCAGCCAAAAAAACAAAGGAAGCCACAAACCCCGACTTCGCGTAGTATCTTCAACTTGAACTAATAATAATCTGGGTGAAAGAGCACCAACATTCTCAGCCTGCCTTCACTCAACGCGTATAGTAGAGGGGAAAAAAAAACGAGACAAGTCCATTTGCTCTTAAATTTTAATCATGATTTTCCATACCCCCATAACCTTTCCTTCCAACTTATTATTACTTCGTTTTTCAATTCAACCAAAAAGAAATTATTCACACTCAACACCTTAAATTATTTTCGAAGTATGTTGAATATCATCAACATTTGACCTCCCAAATCATAACCCATCACCCATATCCATACTGTACTATTGATTCGAGGCTTCAATACGTCCTTCCTTGACACATCCAACACCTCACCACCCTAATTATTGCGACCGTCAATTCCCAGTCTTCAATCATTCACCTCTGACAACTTCCACGACTTCTCCATCATGGCTTCAGCAAGCAAACCTACGCCGACTACCTCTGCTCCACGACGAAAGTCGTCGGGCCTGAGAGAGAAGAGTTCTATGATCATTACTCTCAAATTATCTCCTGCAAAGTTAAGGGGTGTTGGCCAATCTTTGATCAAAGAAGACTCTCCATCAAAGGATTCCACATCAACAATTCCAACTACTACGCCTGTCGCAAAGAGTCAAAATGGCGATGCTCAGGCCGAGTCGGATCCAAATACGCCCGTACCAAACGGTACGGATACACCAGTTTCATCATCGATGCCCCCTCCGACGGAAGCAATTAAGAAGAAGGCTGGCGTCAAGAGAAGTTCTACTGCCGCCTTGGGATCAGACACAACCCCTAGGGCTAGAGGCAAGCCAGGTCCAAAGAAGAAGGCAAGATTGTAAGTATATTGCACCCTTTCACTGTCGTCGAGCTTCAATGCTGTATCTCTTGCCGGGTGGATCAATGCTCTAGAGAACGCCGGGCTCCGCAGTTATCTTCCTTTACATGTGCTAACTCTATCTTAGGGATGATGGCACACTTGCTCCTAACGGAAGTACTCCAAGGGCGTCCAATGGAAACAGTTCCCATCGGCTTGGGCCTAAAGCCAACCAAGGCGCAATCAATGCTGGCTTACGTGCCCTCGATCGTTCTGGTAAACCTTGTCGCAAATGGGAGAAGCGCTCCTTCATCATCAAAACCTTTACGGGTATCCCTATCGAAATTCCTAGATGGAGAGCCCCTCCTAAGACGTCAATTAATCCCAGTACTGAAGGTTCGTCAACTGGTGATAGTAGCAAGGAGAACAAGGAAAACAGCCAGGTTGAAAGTGAGAAGAGCACGAGTGCGATGGATGTTGATGCTACCAACCTCGTCAGCTCTCCCCCAGCTATAGCTCCAGCTCCAGCTCCAGCTCCAACCTCTACATCTACCTCCACTTCTGCACCTGCCGTTGCACCTACATCCGCTCAAGACCAAACTCAGTCTCCTGCGGTGATCACTGCTTCCGCCTAATACTTTCCATCTATCTTAATCTTTTATACCGTGTATTAGAACCCGGATCTTACCCGGTCAACCTCTTCTTTCTCATTAATGGGCAATCTTTTCAAGGAACCGGATTACAAAACGACCCTGCTTTGTCACCAACGCAAGACATGTATAAAATTTTCTTTGGTTTCAATTTACTGGGCTTTGGGAAAATATTTGGGGCGTTGTGGATGGAATGGGATGGAGTGGAAATAAATTCCGCCAGAGCAATGGTGTTTCTGGCGTTTCCTCCAAGCAGGAGAGTGTTAATATAGCATATCGCGGCCTTTTGGGTTCACGCATTATTGCTTAAACAATTCTAAATTATGACTACTTTCTTGCTTTCACAGCCTGACCGGGCATACAAGGGTCAATCCACGTGTTTCCTTACCATGATCTCCCGTGCAGAGTTCCAACCATGATGGCAAGCTATTCGCAGACGGATGAGTGAATTCGTCAGTAGCTTGTACTGTTACAAAGGTAGCTTCGACTGGCTGTCCATTTATGTCATCGGTTCACGGCGAGTCTTATTTCTTATAAGGGACCCAGATATCCATGTGATTCTTGAATATTTACATGATAGAGGTCTGTTTGTTTGAGCTTGTATACAAATTGAAATAATTGATAATGTGATTATTTAAGTTCAGATGAGCGTTCATTGATTTTCGTCTGATCGGTCTGATGTGTTCTTCTTAAAGATTCGACCTCGATTGGGTAATGCATGTACATGCTAAGTAAAACGATATGAATGACATGGCTGGGAACTATGCTCATTCAAACGGGGTTTGAATCTCAATACATTGTGGTCTTGTGTCTTCGGGATGATTTCTATCATTGTATTAAGTAGGGATTTCAAAAAGTATATTGAACACTTGAGAGGATATCGTTCAGCTTGTGTATGTATGTAGGTACCTAGCTCTATTAATTAATTAATTACCTACCTGCCTACCTACCTGGTTATCACACCGCTCATAGTGTCCCATCATAATAAATGTTTCTCGAATTCTGGTGAATTAGTTCATAAGCAACAAATGATAGAAATCAGTGAAGTTCGTGAATCGTAATAAATGTTTCTCCTCATGATGAAATCCATCACACCCCCGGTCATCGGGGATCGAACCATAACGGGATTAGCTCACGTATGATGAAATCCACAAATGGCAACATTCGAGGAACCTACCTACCAGCCTACCCAGCTACCGTACATTGATGTATTAAAGATTCGATAACAACTTATCATTCGTACAAACTACAAACTGAAGCTTCATAAGAAATTGAACATTCAGAACTATGATTCTGATGTGAATCGTGAACTCAACCACATTAAATACTTAATGAGATTTCGCTAGTCATGAAACAATCCAACTACTACTGGTACATCACATTTCGTCTCCACCTTGATCCAATCCGTCATTCACTGCTGAATTGAGAGCTGCAGATAGGTAATAAACACAGCTTCTGCGCCTTGCAACCTCAAGCTCAAGGAACAGAACAACACAAAACAACCTCCATACACCAACAACGCTCTCGACTTCTAAACACTCACAGCGACAACGAATCTTTTCTCTCAATCTAACTACTGTCTACATACTTTCGAAATGACAAACTCATATCCTTCGGGCTCACCGGGGGTTCCAGACTCCGGCATGCCTACTGGAGCTCCCGGTTTCATGCCTCGAAGATCCTCATATGCCTCTGTTGTATCTGGTATAGCTGCCGGGAACTCTCAACAATATGGACAACCTTCAAGACCCGGCCATTTCGCGAATCTCCTAAATTCGAACACACACATGTTGAATCAACAACATGATTCCATTTACTACGATCCAAATTATAATGGGCGATACGGATATGGGGCATTCGCTGGGTTTGATGAGGAAAATAGTAATGGCGGGGTCAATCAAGGACGATCAGGATCATGGGGTAGAGGAGGACAACTGCCAAGTTTCTCAAGCGCTTTTGGTTCACTCGCAAATGAGTTTTCCTCACTCCCGAACGGGCATGGGTACGGTGGATTTGGTGGGAATGCGGACCATTTCTTTGTGCCCTCGTATCTGAGGGGATCGAAATATGTGCAAAAGTTAGAGGAAGCGCACAAGGCAAAGGTCCTGGCGCATAGAGATGGGTCAGCCCCGTCATCACAACCAAATTCTCTATCAACTAGTGCTAGCAGTGTTAATCTACATGCAAAGATGGTCCCTTCGCATCGAGGTAGACCTTATGACCTCGTCGAAAAAACTCCCCTCATCGAAGATGAAACCTTATCCCCATTGCCAAGTAAATGGAGCACAACAGACAAATTTGGAGCATTGGAAGTCACAAGTGACGGCTTTGAAGTGAAATTGACGGGCCCGAAATCCATGAACGATCGAGATAATGAGGCATCTGCCATCAGATCCGATCACCCCATGCCTCCCCAGTGTGGAATTTATTACTTCGAGGTAACAATTTTGTCGCGGAAGCGAGAAGAGTATGATTTCCAATTGATTTGCATAGTTGGAGCCTCGCTAACGCTCACCTTAGTAGCTCTATTGGTATTGGATTTTCTACCAAAAAAATACCCTTATCAAGATTACCGGGATGGGAACCTGATTCTTGGGCATATCATGGTGACGATGGCCATGGGTATGCTGGTGCAAGTGTTGGAAAAGCTTACGGCCCATCATTTTCCACAGAAGATGTAATAGGTTGCGGAGTCAACTTTTCAACTGGTGTTGCCTTCTTCACAAAGAATGGAGATCATTTAGGTCAGTATTGGTAAAACTTTTCCTCATGCTACAACTCGATTCTATTCCATTGTCACTGTTCTTATTTTTTGAAGCGCCTGTTAATATCATTATTCAAGGTATCGCATTCCGAGATGTAACTGGAAGGGGCGAGCTTTTTCCATCTGTAGGTATGAAGAAACCCGGCGAGCATATTAGAATAAATTTCGGGCAAAGTCCATTCGTCTACAACATAGATGAAATGATTTTGGTAAGTGAAAATATTTCTATAATGTCTTCGCATCTTGAGCTCCGAGCATCATAAGAACCCTTGTCTGCTATGCATCGTTTATTTCGGACCACTCGCGCACCAAAAAAATTAAAAAGACAATTCACAGTGGAATCGTGAACTAACACTTTCACAGCACGAAGAACGTCGGATTAAGAATGAGATCGCTTCCACCAGGTACTTCATTTCGACCCTGTAGCTTGTTGGGATCCTAAACTTTGTCTTAGTACTACAAAACTTCAACCACCATTGAATGAAACGGAATTGATCCAATCTTTGGTATGACTTACTCTCAAGACGTTCCACCATCTAATGACTGATTCCGGATAGGTTCTACAATTTCTAACACACGATGGCTATGTCGAAACGGCAAGAGAATTTGCGAATGAAGTTCACTCTGAAAAGAAGGCTTTGAACATGGATCCTAATGTTACCATACCAGGATTCGATATCAAAGATGATCAAGATGCTAGCAATAGGCAACGTGAGTATTCCCGACCAATGCCAGATTTCAATACTAATTCTATACAGGCATACGCACAGCAATATTAGAAGGGGATGTTGAACAGGCCCTCAAATTCACTAACGCATATTATCCTCAAGTTCTGAAAGACAACGAACATGTTTACTTTCGATTAAGATGTCGCAAGTTCATTGAAATGGTTCGACAGATGGCAGAAATGCATAATTCCAATACTACCAACATATCGAAGAAGAATTCGACGCATAAAGGGGATTGGTATGATGATATTATAAATCATGATATGGAACTGGATGATCATCAACCCCAGGCCAACAACTGGGATAGAATGGAAACGGACGGCGGTGATACTTTTGAAACCGATTATCAGAATTTGCTAGCAGATACATTATCATATGGACAGGTTCTTCAAGCAGAATTCAAGGACGATCCAAGAAGAGAGGTCAGCAAAGCTTTGGAAGATGCTTTCTCGTTGATTGCATACAAAGACCCTATCAATGAGAAAACCGTCTCCCATCTCTTGGATCCGAGTGGAAGGGTTGCTGTAGCAGAGGAATTGAACTCTGCTATTCTTCGTAAGTCGCCTCTCTCACTTGCATTCTAGGTTGAAGAATCGCTAGTGCTCACTTTCTTGTTTGTGTGCTTAATTGCTAACACAGACAAAAGTCTCCCTTGGCAAATCGTCCTCAGCGGCTCTTGAACGTGTTTACCAACAAACCACGGTACTGTTAGAAGACCTTAGAGAATCGGGCGGAACGGGGGCTTTTGTTAATATTGATAATTATACGAGACCTAGGAGGAATGATGGCGCAAGTAGAAATCATAGTTAGGGTTAATGGGGAAATGCTTGTACAAAATGCCTAAAGTTTTCGGGAAAGGATGCGAGCAGAGTATTCTCGGATGGGTTTGGGATAAGGGAAAGGATTGGAGATTGAGGATCGGAGTGAGCAATGAAGGTCGGAGTGGTTATATGAATGATTAATGATTAGCAATATGGAATGATATACTATATTTAATAAAGTCATACCTAGCTGCAGAGCGAGGATATACCTGTTCGAATACATGACTGTGTGGCTACTGTGAATACGATTTTCTTATAATATCCTTGCTGGGGTGAGGGCTTTGATTCACGGTATGATCTCTAAGGGGGATAATATTATGTTACTTGATATGTTGGTGATGTGTGATCAGGAGAGGAGGTAAGGACTTGCTTGTAGGGAGGATAGGGGACGGATTGATGTACACATAATCTCAAAAGTGAATACTAGATAGCTATCTCAAACCAAGAAGCAGTTTTTGCGTGTAAAATATTCTGGTATTATGATCTGGGATGATAGTATATAAGTATGTGATCCCGAACTCCCATTTGATTTCTCAAAAACCACATCTCTCTTCCCCCTCGTCGTCTCTCGTTTCCTCTCCTCTTGTCTAATAACAATAAATAGGAAAGGTAGGTAACCAGCCAGATGGTTATTAATTTCGTGGTGGAAAATTTTGGAAAATAATTGGATTGGATTGGATTGAATTAAGTAATCAATCAATGCTATAATAATGATAATGAAAATTGGAAGGAAAAAGGAAAGGAAACGCCAAGAAACACCATGTGTGGTCCTGATATGCTCAATGCTATATCCTAGATGCCAGATGCCAAAACGCCGCCGCCGTCGCCGCCTTTCTTGAACTCGTGGTTTCGTTATTTTGAGGAGTGGTGGTTGGTTGGTTGGTTGGTGGAGTGGATGGGGAGTAAGTGATGTGGTGTGTGCTGAGGTTTCGAAATTGTGTGTAAATGTCGATGAAGGGGTTTAGTGAAGGGAAGCGAGATGTGTGGTTTGTGCACTGGGAACAGTATCTAGATGATAGATTTCTGTTTACCCATCGCTTCTCTTCTTCTCTTTCTCTCCTGTTTCATCTTGTGTTCGCAGTGCGAGTTATTCAACACTCCATTTTTGGACGATTGATTGGTGCAGATTCGCATCAATGGGTAGGTGTGCTACCCATTGCACATCGACATCTTCGCACGCGCATCGACACCAGCATTCTCCGTGTTCCCAAAATCTACAATCCGCAGCCCTCCATATCTCGCATCAGACATGCCATTTGTGCCCTCTTGGCTGCTTCGGCGACGAGGTTGAAATCTTTGAGAAACGGGGAGGTTTCGTCTTGACTTGAGGAGCGCTGGGGCGCTTGGGGTGCGGGGGGTTGAGGTGCGGATGTTGGGCCGCTGGAGGAAGAGGAGGAGGTGGAGGATTTCGAGGGGCCCGTTGGGAAGGATTGGAAGTAAGTTGCTGAGGAGGTGGTGCGGGTTGGTGATGTGAGAGGGGCGTTCATTTTTGCGTTCTTTAGGGAAATAAGGTTGGTTGCAGGTAGATAGAAAAGTGTATTTTTCTTTGTTGTGCTTGGAACGAAGAGCGGGGTTAGAAGGGCAGATTTTTTAATATGAGGAACTTTCTCTTATTTTTCGGTAGGAGAAATATGTATATATGTATAAATCGGTATTCAAGTATCTGTATGATCTGAACGACGTAACGTATGAATCCACGCTCGTTTTTCTCGCTCTTTGCTCTTGTATTTTTTGTAACTCCCAAAATGTGTATACCTCGGTCGAACTAAGACTCAAAATTCTTCAAGTGGTTCTCCTGCGGAATTTCGACTGGGTAATCTTAAACTCAAACCCCGGACTTATTGTGGGAATCGAAGATGGTTTGGATCGTATATGACGATCGGTCTTGTTTTGGGACTTGGACAAGAGATTCCGAAGAAAGCTTGACTCGAAGTACGTAGATTGATACCGGATTGGTGGCCTACGATATGACGATGGGCGAGAGGATGCGTCAAGTGTCAATTTCGAAAGAGATAGTGTGAGAGTATATTCAGAAACAAAGATGTCAATTTGAACTAAAGGGATGGAGGTGAGGGGTGAAATGGCTGGGTGAGTAGAAGATTGGTAGGAAGGTAACTTGGATTTGAGGTGGGATGGTAATCGTAACGTGAAGCGGGCACGGAGTGCTTCTTAAGTACTCGGTAGATTTCTCGTTGTTGGAGAAGATGTGGGATTGAAAGAGGTCGGTCGAGATATGGGTGATGATGATTTGAGCCAGGTCCTTTGTTTCAAGTGACTTCCTTTGAGGACAAGAAGGAATTGTTGAATATTTGATTCAAGATGATCAAGTAACGAAATTCCTTTCTTTATTCACAATTTCGGATTGAAAGGGTTCAACAAGGCAAGCAAGGTTTGGAAGTGGGTTGAATATGATATGATATTCTCAAGGGTCTCAATGATTCAGAAGGGATTCCTTTCGGTAAACACATTTTTGACAATTAGACAGACAGCGAAGGAGCATCATCATCCGAGTTACGATTTTGAATGGGGTTACTTCAGGGTTATCGATTATTGTCTCATAAGTATCTCCTCTCTATGAAGGTAAATTCAAATCTAATTGGTTGTTGTCTCGAAATATCCCACAACCGTTTTTCATTTGATTTTTACCAAAGTATTTGTTATCGGCTACTCCTTGGTACATATGTTGCTAACTCAATTTATGACATGGGCAAAGAGAAGAGACCGCTTTGTTTTCTCCGCAATTGCAAGGTACTCGTACCAATTTATCGAAGAGCTAATCCGCTTATAGTATTTCCCCATATCACTATCGAGTTAGTCGAGAGTTAGCCACTTCGTAAGCATTTTCTCTCGGGTTAATATTTCATCCTGCCGTGAGTGGGAGTCACTAAGAGCCTTATCGCTGTGGAACCGAAACGGATCATACGTTTCTTTTCTTTTCATCCGAGGTACAACGATTTCCATGTTGCGAGGTCGGATAAGAGGTTAAATGTATGTGGTAAGTATGTAGGTAGCAAGTATGTATATGTATGAGAGGATGAAAGTGTGAGAGTATGAGCATGACGATTTTTCGAGAAAGATTCGGCTATCAAATTGTTGCCCCCTTTTATATAACTATACATATTTTCATCTTTCTTTCCTATCTGTCTCACTTGCGCTTATGATGGAAATGACCTTGTTGGATGTGACGATATATTTCCTTCACACTGACATACTAGCACTTTTATCCTGCATGTCAGAAACAATCTTACATGCATTCTGTACGCATCGTACCTGAGCCAAAGACCCATTTCTTATGATTCGGAGGTTCTTTTTCATCCCTTGTAGGTTCATGCATCCAAGATCTTTAAAAAGATTCCAAGGCAGTTCATCTCATCCAATATCATTCCATCATTCTCACGCCAGAGATGCATTTTATATATATATATATATATATACATATGTGGAGGTTGCTATTTCGGTGGTAACATGGGACTGGACCACACCAAGTACTTACTGTGTAGCTTTCATACTCGATAATTCTCGACATTCTTCACGAGATCATATCTTTCCAATATTGATTTCTCGATCGCTCAATCCCTCACTCCACTCATTAGGTACCTAGAACCTAGAATTGTATTCCTACTTCGTACATTTTACGGATAAATCCATTTTTTCCTTCAATTAAAAACGGGAGATACTTCGGCATTTAGGTGTACATTCCGGTAAATATACGTATCGTATCGTACCTGGTACTAAGTTACTACTAACAGCTCATACTCACCAGGACTAGGAAGAGTTGTAACTTGTAACTTGTAACTTGTATGGACCTATGGACCTTTGAATCTAATTCGAAATGCAAAGGTGCCTTGTCTTATCCTATCCTCCGTTCTTGCCGTTCCTCGGCCCTTTTCTTTCGCATTGAAATTTGCCATGTCGCGGCTATCCAGAAAAAATTTGAAAAAAATTAAGCAAATGAAATTAATTGTGTCCCATTTGTGTCCCATCCCATCAGAGAAAAGGAAACTATCGGAAGACGCGCCGAAACTACCAAGGTACCTAGTCATAGTCACGGATTTGTTACGGATTTAACTTAACTCGATCATTATTGTTCTGATTCGATATTACCCTGGTCGACTCTATCTAAACCATTCGAGATTGGCAAGGGAAGGGAAGCCATGCCTCCTTCAAATGAGACAACCTCGTCTGCGAGGCCGAAGCAGAATGAGAGAAAGGATGCCTCGACTGCCCAGAAAGATACCACATACAATCAATCCAACTTCACTCGACAGACAAATGCCGTGAAGGATTTATTCAGTATACCTAGACCGGTTAAGAAATTGTTTGATAGAGTTCCTGTTGTTACATATCCAGCAAACGAATTACCACAAAGGAGTCCTGGGGCAAAGGGTAGAAGGAATGATAGAGATGCTAGATTGCCCAGTTTATATATCTTCTGTAGAGAGGGCGAGGAAGAGAATGGAGGCAGACCAAGTTTTAATCCGGGATGTTTGAAATGGCAGGTATGTCTACCTATGTAGAAATTGAAGCAAGCAATATCAAATGCAAGACTACGAGGCTGACGGTATGGGCAGACTTTTTTAAATCTCGCAGGAGTTAATCATAATATTGTCTCTTCAAATAATCATGCTTCACCTACTGGTGTCCTACCTTTCCTCTTACCAGGCATCAAATCGAATTCTTCACAAGATGGCTACCTTCCAATACCGAGTAATGGACTGGTGAAATATGCAAAGGAACAAGGAAAGAAAGTCCCCGAACCAAAGAGTAGGAAATTGGAAGCTTATCAAGCTCTAATCGATTATAACATTAGAAATGCTTGGGTACGTCTCTTTGCTTGCCCAATATTAGACTTGACGACCCAGCTAACCTTCCCAAGCTACATTCTCTTTATCTAACCCCCTCGAACTTCCGCGCGATAGCCGCTCCCCTCTACATAGACCCGGCATCCTCCTCTCTCCCAGTTCGCCTCTATACGGCCCACCAACTGCGCTCCGCAGCCGAATCTGAGTTGCGCAAGAGCGCGGAGATTATTGACCAGGAAATGATTTATAGGGAGGCGGACAGAGCCTGGGAAGCACTCAGTTTGTTACTTGGGGAGGAGAAATGGTTTTCCGGGGATGCGCCGGGCCTCTTTGATGCGAGCGTTTTCGCTTATACGTGGCTATTGGGTGATGAGGGGTTGGGGTGGGGGAAGGGTGATAAGAGGTTGGCAGAGGGAGTGGGCAGGTGGAGAAATCTTGAGAGGCACAGAGACAGGGTATTTAGGAGGTGCTGGGGGGAGGGAGATGGTGTACTGGTATGAACGGAGGAGTAGAGATGTACTGGAAATATAAGATGGGTGAAAGGAAATGTAGGGGTTGAAACTATAATGCGGAGATTTGAGAACACCGAAGAACATTATAATTGCCAACAAAGTTCAGTTTCAGGAGATCGCGGGGTAGTAGGGGAATGGAATAAACGAACTCCCCTTGCATAGTAGCATCGCAACTCCAGAAAACCAAAATCCAAACCAGAGGAATTAAATTTGGTGAGAAGTATCACTTCACCTCTGACTTGTCACAAAATTCATGATCCTCGTTCAAGGTGTCTCGACTTCTCCTCTTTGCTTCGCGTTTTGCTTGCAACTTCTGGATGCACATACCCGAGTAGGTTTACTGGGGCCTATATTCGAAAATTTAACTCACTGGAGCTAGGTCAGTACTTCAGCCGCTCAAACTGGAAATCCTACAGTTCTGATTCATCGATGCAAGCCATTCTATACTATTCCAAGATGATCTCTCCCCATTCTTCGTCTTCCTCTATCGCCTCTTCACACATAATCCCATCTATAAACACCTCCCTACAGGGCTCTACAACCCATCCATACTCTGTCTCACCACAAAAGGCACCGGTGATCACGCTATAGCCACAATTGAATCACCAAACTTGAAACTGGGATCTCCCACTCCCACACATGTGCAACCCTCGGGATTTGGACTTTCTGCTTCGTCCCACGCAGTATTGAGTTACTACTTTCATGAATATCGATTTGACAAGTCTAGCTCTCTCGCAAGAGCATTCTTATCCACGCGTGCTTTTCTTCGAAACGTAGTCAAGTCTTGATCCTTGGTGTTGTTCCCCATGGTGGAAAGAAATCCAAGTGCTGGCTCAGGAAATATGTCATTTTCGCCGAGCCAGATCTAAGGCCTCTGATTGTGAGTGTGAATATCGCCCAGGGTGAGGTTGGTAAAACGGATGTTATTACATCATCCATCGCTGGAACTCGGGAGAAGCACTTGAAAAATTCTTCCATTATAGTCTGGCCAGCATTGCATCAAACACCGTCTCGTCGAATGGCATTGTTCCTCTCCCCACACAGAAATGCGAATAACCAATGATAGATGTTTGTCCCGTTATTCTTTGCCACATCTTCATTAGGTAGTAATATCAATATCCTCGCCGAACAAGGGATGGCTTGGATATTCAAGATTGCTGCAGGATCCGGGGATTGATGTTCTTGATATTCGCCTGCAGAATTGCCTTCATATCCCAACTAAAATGTTCATTGAAATGAATGCAGATATCACGAGGCGATACATTACCCATATCCTTGATCTTATAGGCCGCAAGCATATTCTTTCACTCAAAATTTCGAAAAATAGCAATACAAATTCAACATAATTCACCAAAAAACACATTCCAATCAACAAAGCCTTCTCAATGAAATCTCAATGCCCAACTTTGTCTTAAACCGTGCATGTCTATCTACCCCCTGGTGGATTTTGTTCACGGCGCCGACAAGTGGAGCTTCAAAGTTGAATCCTCCACTTTGCTTTCCCCTACCAAAGCAGAGATCCACAATTCCACCAACTACGCCAGCAGACTCTTTGATCTGTGGTGTCCCAAACCCCATAATAGCAATACATCTCATACCGTTAGATGTAGTGGTAGCCTAGTCGTTCTTGCCGAGATCCTCTAGCTTCACAAAGACCGCGTGAGTACGCGGTGTGGGGTTTGTCTTTGATGCTGGGGAACGAATCTCAACTCCTGCTTCTGGCTGGACGTAATGTAGATACCATTTGATACCCAAATTCTTCCACAAAGTGAAAGTTTGGCTGGTTTAAGGTGGCTGAACAGTCACCTTGATTGCGTTATCAAGCGAAATGCGTGGTAGCATACTCTGAGATGCTAAGCCTATTTGTGAATCTACAAACATTCCAACTGAAATCAAGAGCCCATCCACAATATTGATCCATTTCAAACCGCTTGCCGACTGCCCTTTTTTCACAGAAAACAAAGGCTGAGGCACCAAAAGCATTGACCATTGATATTCGCTGTGAGAAATATTACCTTAATTTCATCCATGGGAAGTTTGTAGTCGACAGTAACATCCTCAAGCTTCATTGCTCTGATCAACGCCCAGCAAGAATCCTGCTCCATGCCGAATTTGCGGCTCTGCTTGCCACTGAGTATAAATAGCAGAGAAGCTTTACCGTACGCGATGAAGCCAAAGGTGACCAGAGCTCGAAGGATTTGTCGAAATTCATTTGCCATGTGAACCGACTCATCAATCAGTATACTGACCTGGCTTTGAGGCTCTTTCCCATTGGCTTGTAGCAAGAAGGATTGGGGTACTCCGACAGCGGGTTTAGTAACCCTGGCCGTCAAGTCGATTACCGAAGCTTGTCCTCCATTGTGCATGAATGTATCATGTTCAAGAGCATTGCTAGAGTCATCGATTAGGATAGTTCCAGGGGGTAGAACGCCCACTTGGAGCTTCCAACCCCAAACTAACCATCGTTTCAATTTCCGGAATTCAGTGGGCAATTGCACAATTTTATCAAAATATGCTTTGGGTTCGGTTGTCAGCGTTCCATTGTCTTTTGATCAAGCTAGAAGTAGCGTTTTCGATGGGCTTTGCAGACTCTAATCCGTCGAATGAAGCCACACGATGCTCTTCTTAGCATTGCGTTATATATTCCTCGTAAATTGATTAGTTATACTTCGGTAACACTGGCAATAAGCGAACACACAATTGCTTCCTGATTTCTTCGTGCCCTGCAATTCCCAGGCTATCAGTGATAGTTCGGCGACCTTTCAAAGTCTCCTGAGGAACACACATCTAATCTCACCAAACATAACGAGGGCCAATTTTGGACATAACCTCGCTCGATCAAGACCAAATCCAGAAGTAGTTGGTACGTCCCAAAAGAAGATCGCGTGGCAGTTTATCCTCTGGCTGCGGTTTTTGGAGGTCTGCAATATAACCCCAGGTATGGGAAACTATACCATAACCTTCCACTTCCATGGCACGGGAAATATCAATGTATCTCTCGAGCTTCCAGTCATGAAGATCAAGGAGCCATCGAGGCGTCTTTGGATTGTTTGGAGGAATCAACTTTTTCTACTATCGGAGTCCATCTTGATAGTCTAGGCTGCTGCTTGTTGGAAAGAAGTATTTTGAATTGTTTGAGCTGTAGAGAAAATAGGTTTTAAGATCAGTAGTTTTGATCGAGACATAGATGAGGGATTAGATATCAATACACGGCTGGGAAGAGCTTCGTTTGTCGCGCTCAAAGAATCAGTGACACGAGATCATTCTCGTACCTGTCTCACCCCAACTTGGATATTACCTATAATGGAGCTGAGTTTAGTTTGCAGAGTTTCTTTCTTGGCAATTGATCACAAATTTTGCAAACGTCGCATTTTATACAGCATCAGTTCATATATCGTCCAAAGACTTCACATTGGCTGGCTGGACAGTTCTCGGCGCACACATGATGTTGTCGTCTTATACTTGTTCTTTGCTTCCTCGGCGGCGACAGCTTTTACTCATAGCCAAAGTTTCTTTCAAAAAGATCAATCAGTCAGCATTCGGTGCTGACTGCTGGTGTCAGTTATTAGCTTAAGCCTCCCAACTGAGAATTTAGAACATTAATGAGTCAGCAAAGTCATGATCCGGCTGGTGTCTGGTTATTGATGAGACAAATTGTCGTACTGAAGTTAGTAACATTGGTGTCGTTGAAGGAGATAAGTATATCATCATTTTTCATCTCCGGATGGAATTTAGTACCACCAATCATGATTACTTGTTTTTTGATCAGCTGTTGACAGCATTCCTGTGTAGTTTGGATGGAACTCTAGAGTTGAACATTGGCTCGCTATCTGGCTATTTGATCAATTTACTTCTCAGTGGCACTGTGATAGGTTTTGGTTTAGAAGCATTTAGTTTGCAAGGCCATGATTTCACATTGGAACTGAGAACTACGAGATCTTTGTAGGCAGAGTTTAAATATTGTAGCACATGAAAAACGATCCGATGTGCTATTTGATATTCTATGAGTAGTTGGTTGAGACAGGAATCAATAGCATGAATGGGCTGAAGGTCTGAGTTGACTTGGTAATGGAATTATGTTGAAGATCTAATAATATGAAGTGAATCTAAATAGGTATTGAAACTACCTACGCTTGTGGATGACTTGATTAACTTGAGCTACTAAGGGGATCTTAGGAAAGAAAATAGAGGCAGTGAATGAAGCTGGCAATGCTTGATGAAGAAATAATTTCTAAGAGCTATTGATAAACAAGGGGTCTTTTGATGGGCTATCGGTATTGACACCTGGTAGGTGTCAAAGATCAGTTTCCCAAACTGATAGGAAGGAAAGTTGACTATTTCTGTCGCTAGTTATGATCAACGACTGTTGATTACAAGACAAATTCAATGGATATCACTTCTTCCATATTCAAGGTCTACTTTGGTTATAACTTCTAGTATCAACTAGCTTGTGGGTGAGACATAAAGACGAGAGGCACCAAATGAATGTTTGGACAAAGACAAAATTGTTCTGACTTAAGACATCTTAGAGGATGGTGGTGGAGAGATATTGATTCATGAAACAAAGGCAACTCGAAGCCTTAGATACATGTGTAGATATGTCTACTCAAGACGAGAAATAAGGGCTCATAATGAATAGAGTAATGAGATTATTCGAATACAAATGAATCCATGGAATATCTACCGCTACATCAACATCCGCACATGAAACAGCTCTGGCTAGCGAATGATTCAACCTATAGTTCGGTTATTCAGGACGTGGAATTCCTTATCCTTTTATTTTTAAAAAGAAAGGCTATTACTGGATAAATCCGGGGTTGAAGAAGTTTCATAGGAGGTCGAGGGCTGGTGGTAGATGACGAAAAAGGGGTGAGGCCTGGGGTCTAATCAAGTCATAAAACTACCCATGAAATTATGCATTGATGAGAGTATAATCAGTACTAAATTTGCCTTTGCATGAGACTTCTATTGGGCAATTGGCAATGCGCCATCAATTAGAAATTGCCGCGGATTACTGAGCCATGAAACACTTAAAAGGCCAAAGGCCGGCGACCAACAGATTAAAATAGCTTGCAATCATATCACATCACACAAATCAAAGGCATCAAAAAGGTATGGTGTGGAACAGATTCAATTGTCCTCTATCCCATCCATCTATCATCTCGTTATCATGATTTGACACGTAATCATTATCCAATCTGTCGTGCCAATATTTCTCATCATCATGAATCATGACCATCATGTTTCATTACCAATAAAAGACGTGTCATATCTCATTCAATCATGAGAGTATGTGTCTCTATCGTTATCCTGCTCCCTTCCCCCTCCCCCACCCCTTTGGCAATTTATCATCCCCTTTTCCTCCTCTTCATGTGGTAACTTTCCTTTCTTTCCCCAAAAATTGAAGAAGTACAGTAATAGTTCCATGAAAACTTGTCGTTTGTTGAGTGTACATGAAATTCGCGAATGATTCGCTGCTTTCATTTTGCGCCGCGGATTCGGTTTCCTGTGGGACATACATCATGACAAGTACCAGACTTGACGTGATGTATGCATGCATATTTTTCGTGATTTTTGATTTAATTGGATGCGAAAACTTGCAATGAGGTGAGTGTTTGAGCAAGGCGCGAAAATGGCACATCTCTCTTTGTGACATGTGTTTGCGTCTGTGTGTTGTGTTGGGTTTCCAGTCCAGGATCATTAGGTGTTCATTCATCGACGGACAACGATTCCATTTCTGCGGGATGATCGTGAGTAATCAGCCTCATCCTCTGAGCTACAGGACTCTGAATCGCTGGATCCGCATCGGGAACCCCCACAATCCAACTTGATTCTATCCCCCTTTCTCGTAATTCCATATCTCTCACAGGTGCAGGATGATGTATTAGAACCTGATGAATAATCGCTCATGCTCGAAGCTGAAGATGGCGAGCTTGTGCCACTGGTGTCAGAGATGGTGGAGCCAACAGATGAAGATGGTGAGCCTGGAAGATCGTAATCATAATCGTACTCATCCATGGTAGTAGCACCAAAGCGTGCGGTCAATTCATCGACAGTTGGACCAGCAGCGTAATCAGCTTCGAGGATGTGCTTGGTGGCGTGTGGAGACATGGGTTTAGGTGATTTGATTTGAGAGATGGAGAGGGGTCGACCTTTGGGAATGTCAACACTGAGATGTGAGTCGCGGCGGGATTCTCTGCGGGAAGATGAATGAGAAGAGTGTGATGATTTGGAACTGGAAGAGTGCTTAGATGATGAGCTGGAAGAATGCTTGGAGCTTGATGAACTGGACTTGGATGATCGGCTTGAGGACTTCTCGACAGGGACATCGAGGATGTTCAAGACGCGACCGGTAGTTGGTTCGGTAGTTGATGAGACGGCAGGGTCGTGTGAGACGTGGTATCCATCGATGATGTAGTAATACCAATATCTTTGACCTGGTTGAAGAGTGGTGCCTTGAAATCTGAAAGTACCTTTCCAGCTACCTGATTTTGAAGAAGTCTTGTCTTTAGCGAGCGGAAGTTGACCAGCATAGTTATCCCAGCTACCAAGCAAATGAACGGTCTTAACACTGGAAGAAACACGGAGAGAGAATGATAATTGAATAGCTGCCATTTTGATCGATTTTGATGCGAAATACTAAGATGAAAATTCAATGTACTGAAATTGACTAATTCGAGCAAGAAGAGACTAGTCTTTGGTGGTTAATTTCGGATTGTATGGATTTGTGAATAAAAAATTAATAAAAAGTTGGCCGGCAACTTGATAGAATGATTAGAATGTAAAGATTTTGGTATGATATTACAGAGCACAGCTCTTTGGGAACGGGGGAAAAAACAAAAAGATGAAGAAAAACAAAAAAAGGGCGGAAAATGAAGGAGACTAGCTCTTGAGAATGAATTGACTGCTTGCTGAGGAGAAGAAGAAGATATTCTGAGAGGGGGCACAGCGTCCCTTTATGGTCGCAGAGAGACATCCATCATAGCCATTGGGATCGATCATTGGATAGGCCCACCATAGAACTACTCATGGTAAGGCGCAGAATTGGTATAATCCTAGAATCCCGCAAATCCCGTCCGCATGCAATAGTGCAGGGCCAAGTGCAATATTGGACAAGGGGAAGACTGCAGCCATTGATGAGGGGAAGTCAGTTAGTTCGTTCGTTACTCGGCGTATATGCATGCAGTCCGGTTAGATTACCGTACATTCGGACTCCACGAATTATACGACCCAATTGACAAAACTCAAGGAAAAATATGGTGATTCGATGATCAAGGTGAGCTGCAGTCATTGGGCGCGTAAGCAAGGTGAACATGTTGGATGGACGGCAGCTAGTGCGAATATAGTATTCTGGCGACTAAATCCTTGCCATTTGTGACCATTTAGACGTCGAGAAAGACCAACAAAATTTCTTCGCTTAATTTGGGGTCGTACTGGTGGGAGAACAAACGCAAACATCCACCCTATCATAACGAAATCCCCATCACAACCTTTTTTTGATCCTTGAAAAGTGATGCTTGTGATGGATGGATACTTTTATCGATAATGGATAGTGGATATGTTTCTTATGATCTACTCTACTGTACATTATCAAAAATTTGCCGGAGAGTGGATCAATTGCAAGGGAACCGAATAAGTAGAGCTCATCATGATCATAACAAGAAATACCTGACGACTCGACGTCGTTGAAGGGAAAGTAGAGTCGAGCTAGAGACTGGCATTGATGTTTAAATGAACTAGGTAAGTCAAGTGCGTCGAATGGTTCTGCAGGCGTTGACACGGATAATATCGAGTTGCGTATCTCTTTCCTATATCGGATGAAAAGGTAGTCATCAGGTTGTCATTCGCACTCAGCCATCACAAGCATTACTTCAGTAAATGATTCTTCGATGCAGTCAGCAAAGCAGTACGATATCTAGGGGTCGCACAAGTACAATGGAAGAATTATTAGTCGCAGAAGAACTCTGATCAATCATCAAACTATTGCTTTCAAAATAAAGAATCGGTGAAGGAATGATGAAGCAAGTACAAGTTAGCTACAACGTCGTGAAAGGTAGGAAGGCATGTGGGCAGGTCCAAGTTCTGCAAAATTTGCTTGTGGATAGACTGCGTCTTTGAGATATCCGACTGCCAGCCTTGTTGCATATTAGTCGATGCCCACTTGAGCACATTCATGCTCAAGACGTCTCGCATTCGAACCCCCAATTCGGCTTCATACGAAGTATGGCTGCAAATTCAAGATTTTCAACGACTTCACTAGCAAATATTCTCCACTTCTTTCGGTCAATATTAACATTTGAGCACCGTAGGTCACAAGTCATCGATGACTCGACCGCCGTCCGATTATTTTCTCTCTCCAAAGGCGGCACATTACCCTTGCTCTATCACACCTACCGTTGCTACTTATGTGCCTCTCACACCCTTTCTGCTTATATCCAGCTATTTTACCGTCCGTGCTATCTGCAGCCGTTGCACAGACGATCGTTCCAATCAATCGTTTTGTCCCCCTCCAACCCTCCGTCACCCATGGCAGAACTACCATGTAAAAGCCCCATTTGAACAGGCATTTACGATCATCTATTTCTCCGCTTGCTTGCTTTTGTTAATCTGCCCTTCGTTCTCTATTTAGCAATCTTGACATCGAGCCAACAAAATGCATGCACACTAATCCTGTCACGATGTAATGCATCCCTTTCAACACTCCATATCAGCCCTAGTGTCGGCGGGTACATAAATTGCAAGTGGATCATGAAGTATTACTCGCAGCAATGATTGATCCACTCAGAGTCCGTTCTGTCTGTTTGATTTTGTGCGTACAAGATGCATTTGCATGTTGTACGTAATTGCCTAGCCAATCCCGCTGGCTGCTAATAATCACGTGTGGTTCACGTGATTATATACTTGGCCTCGGCGAAGAGGTCATTGGGTATTTGAGGAGAGACAGAGGCCCACTCAAACTCAATTCCCGGAACGAAATCCGGCTCAGAAAATTAAGTTCCACAATACGAGGGGTATTGTGCATGTTCGCTCACAGTACTGCAGTGGTAGCTTAGCAATCTGTCAATCCTAGTACCAAGTGTTGAACTTTCAAGCCGCTTCTTCAGTAGCAAAAGTTCACAAGTTCACAAGTTACAAGGAAGATATGAGATGCGGGTGCGCAAGCTGCAAAGCAGGGCGTTGTTGGTCACATTCTCAGATGATGTATGCGGGTTTGACGGACAAGGTTGGCGGGAAATAACAGTTTGGAAATTTTAGTCCTGATGGCAGTGGCGTGGGCCGAGCCTCCTTTTCACTTTCTTCCATTTATTCTCTCTAATTCACTTATGTTTTTCACACAGTTTATGTGCTACAGCGTCTACGTGACACATACTTCGTTGGCTGCTGTGTGACGGCGAAAAATATATCATAATGTGAGTAGTCTCATATGATGACTTCATCTTATATAATCTTTTACATCGAAGACATACCTTGTGTGTCATACATAGTAGTTTTCTATTTTGTACAGTTCATTTCCATTAAAGAGACCTCTTATGAATCTCTTGTCTTCTGCTTCAGACTCATATAATGTTGCCAGATGAAGTTCTAATGGCTTTCGTTCGTGATCGGCGGCTTCACATCTTTCATGATCAAATGTTCGTTCAAAGCATAGTCTGGCACTTCGATATTCTATCAGTTGGCATAAATGCAAAACTTTCCAGTTCTTCTGCTTTCAAGCGTAGTAGTACCTCTGATAACAACGCGATCAGATCCGAGTTGAATAAAATAATTACTCGAATTTTTCCCGCCGAGCACAGTTACTTTCTCGTTCGGCATTCATAATGTCACAAATATCTCAATTATGTTAATAGTCTGACGAAAGTCATCGATGAATACCCAGTCTCAGACACCAGACACCAGACGCTGTCTAGCTTCTAGCATATGGTTGTTAGTTGATGAATGACGTCAGTCCGAGACTGCATCTAGGACGATAAATCTCATGGAATTTCGCTGTGAATCTATTTTTTCGATCTCTTGTTCTCCTTTTGTTTTGTCAATACGAGCGATATGGCCTTTGCTACGTAGAGGCAGCTTTCATGAGGGGCCGATCTCCATTTGATTACCTGAGTCTGTTTCGGTTGGTCTTTTTGTGCTGCCCCCCCCCCCCCCCCCCAAAAAATCGTTTTCTTCAAAAGTGTATCAACGCATAACTGAATGTTTTGGGATAGCATTCTCAGACTTAACCAAAAAAGAAGCTTTCAAGTTTCAACATTCAGATACAAAATGCCGTAAAACCCTTTATGACTTGATGAGAACGCCAATTGGCGTTCTGGCTACTAAGCCAACCAACAACCATACGACATAGGAATACTCGAGCGGTTAGCAAAGCCCATCTCCATGCAACCCTAGTATGCTAACAAGCCACAGAAGAGTTATGCAAACCCATACATACCCTGAGAAATTTATGCTTGAAAAGGCTGCAACAAAAATAGTAACTAACATTGGCCCCCAATACGAAATATGTTGTCAGCAATGCCCGTACCAGATTGATTGACCTTTCAGTACAAGTAACATGCTGTACTCCTTAGTTATGGTAACACTGTGGCCATTCTTTTAATATTATTGTTTCGCGTCAACTGATTTCTCATTGCATTTCGTCTTTTTTCGAGCTGATACAGCATGTGGAACTTCTTTCGTACGTATGTTACGAGCGAAGTACATAGTTCTGGCTGACTGAAATCGTGAATTGTCTTACAGCAAACAGATTGGACAGAGTGTGTTCTCAGTCAATAGTCATAGTCATAGAACAAGCCAAAGCATCCGCAGTCTCTGCATGCAAATACATACTTGGCCGGTTGATTGTGACTCTGTTTAAAGGAACCCAACAAATTTCGCTGGAAGGCCTTGAGGTATTCGGATCGATTGAAATGAACTCTCTCTATTGGCGCAAATTTCAAGGCGTGTCGTCTTCGACGCTTCGGTATATAGCACAGAATCTCACGATTGATGACGTTGATATACCGACTTTCTGGAGCTTTCCTGGGCTGAAGTCGATATATGTTTTAAATCTCAGAAATTGCTCCTCTCCATTAAATGTCGATTTTCCAGAAATAGTTGTGGTGGAAAAAGCTAATATCAAAAATGCGCGATTTGCGTCGGGTTTTCTGCCAAACATGGGTGCTGTTCATTTTCTCCGAGCAATCAACAACCTAGGCCTCAAGCTGATTGATTCATCCAATGCAAGCCATTTTCACATCCAAGCTCCACCTTCCAACTCTTCATTGCAAGTCTACTCTTCTGCTCAAACGTTTTTTGATGGCGAGATATACGGGGCTGCTGAGGTACATATGCCAGCCTTGGAATTTTGTCACAGCCTGATTTTGGCAGCTAACAACTTCTCATCATATTCTGCTCCAAAACTTGAGTATGTCCAAGGGAACCTCGAAATTACTGGAAACGAAAATTTGCGGACAATTTCTCTGCCACTTCTGCAACGCGTTGCGTTATTGGAGCATAGCGAGAGTTTTTATGAAGGAAACAACACACTTATCGGCAATTCATCACTTAAAGTCACAGGAAATGGAAACTTGCAGGATATTTCTATGCCAGCCTTAACACATGTCGATAAAGATCTAGAGATGTCTGGTAGCAAAAACTTGATGCATATCAATTTAACGAGTTTAGCGGAAATCCGTGGACGACTCGCTGTGATAAACGTCACCTTCACAAAGTATGTTTTAATCAGTCCCTTATTATTACCCGTGGGATGTTACATACCCGTCACTGTACTGATTTAAACAGAATACCATTGCCCTCCTTGAAGATTTTATCTCCTTCGCTTCATGGCGCGATGAAGAATGGTACTCGGAATTGTAGTCGCATACCATCAGAGCTTGGATCCATCAACACTCCTGGAGGAAGTCTTGCATGTCTTGATTTCAGCCCCAGCAATAAATATACACCGGTCTTAGAAAACATTGGCTCGAAACATGGCTTTTCGTCTATCTTCGTCGCACCTTCCATAATATTTGGAATTCTGCTAGCTACCTGCATCATAATATTCGTCAAAAACCGTATGAGATCGGCTTTCGTTTTCGAATCCGCGAAATCCATGTCATTCAATCTTCTATCCAGTCATCGTACCACGATTGAAAATATCCCCGAACTCATGACCGTGGAACGATCGGTTGAATTAACAGACCCATGGCAAGAGATGTATGAGCTTGAGGCCACGGAGTACCACGAGTTAGATTCATTGCCCATAATTCCGACGTCGATAGAAACTAGCTCGTCGGTGATTCAGAATCCACTTTTGAATGGCTTGGGGCAAACTGATGCGCCATGAACTTATGTATCACAATAGGCTCCAAAACAAAATTTATTACAGAATCACTCGAAGTCACCCAACCTCCCTGGACAAGTATTTGACGCTTCCCGGCATCTCTACAACAGCTTCTATAGCTGGCAATTCTGCGACTGGACCTTTTGGTGACCCGTCAATCTCTTCGAGGGGTTTGGGAGGAATACAATCTGAATGTAACTGCGCCTTCTCGGGGCCAGTTTCATCACCAATTCCAGCTCCGACTCTTGAGTTTCGCAAATGCCGGTGCCTCCAAAACTTCCAATAGATCATCCCAAAGGCAATAATCGAAAGTCCGCCAAAAATGGAGCCCACAACTATACCGTTTAATTGCGCATGGCCAGGTGTCAATTCAGATTGTAAGCTTGTTGGGGAAGAGGATGAAGCTAAATGGAATACAATCAGTAGGTCGCATTTCCAACTATCAGTATTATCTTACTGGAACTTGTTTGCGTCCATAGTGTTATTACATTAGAAAAGGTGACGGTAATTGTGCTTCCGTTAAATAATGAGATACCTTGGGTATTGGTTGCTGTGATGGTCGCATATGGTGAGCACGAGAGAGTGGAAGCAGAATTCAAAAAAGTACTCGTGAAATTTGGGAGCGAGGAAAGTAGTGAGGAGGCGACACTCAAGGTTGTCGCCACTGTTGTACTCTCTAACGCACTCGACGCTATCGAGGATGCATTCAGTGACGCACGATATTCAAAGAACTGTTCAAATCGAGGTCCCAAATAATTCTCGTTCATCGCAGCTGGATCCGAGCTATCTGTTGCAACGCACGCCTGGCAAGCACTGTACTCGTTGTTGAATGTTGAATCTGAGCACAATGCTGGCGACTTGCCAATTTTCATCGCGTCAACGTATGCATTGTCTAGATGAGTGAATCAGCATCACATGGTTATCAGGCAAACAATTTTCATACTACAAACACTGTAACATGCAGCTGGAACCACGGTCGAAGTACTCATTTTTGAATGCCATTCAAGGCAAGCCCGAAAAATCATAACAGAACTGTAAGACGAAGATACCTTCTTATCATCCTCCATGGCCTCCAACCCCCCGAGAATTCTCAGCCACTGGCGCAGATACATTCAATATTCGAACGCCCAAGTATCACTTGGAGAATAAGTTATATCAATAATAAAAAAAGCATGCTTACAGGCTAAACAACTATTTCATACCGACTGCGCTCTTGATGTAGAATTTCGCGAGGGAAATTTGATTGATTGGTGGCAATAAAACACGAGTTGCCATTTCTAATGCCTATTGTACTACTGTGCCTTTCTTGTTGTAATCCGAAGCCAATATTTGAGAAACGGAGGGATCGAAATTGCAAATAGAACGCCTCGTCAATCATATAGGACCACTTGATTCAAGATGACTTGAGAGCCGCAGACTCCCAATTCGGCAACCGAGCAGTGTTACATCAATTGCTATTCATACATTGAAAATGTAAAGGAAACCCCGAGCCTCTGTACTTGGCTGAATGCATCATGTAGTGAGATTCTGCATTGGCAAAATGGTAGTCCAATGCTGCTTAGCAGCGAAATGGTAGATGGAAGTGGCCAAGCACATGAACATTATCACGAGCGTAACTGCCACATAACCTACCGAGCCATCCCAATTCACCGTTTGGTAACATGCGATTCAAAACACTTGTAGAAGCTTGTTTACTAAACCCGCATCTCACTAAGAGAGATATCCAATCGGATGTTGGACGTAAGAGGAAAAATCAAATCTTCTTAGTTCTTCCCCAAGGTTTGGAAAGCACAGACCACAGCCTTCCAAATACTACAAGCCAAGGCAACGCTCACCGGGAGCTAAGATCTCCACTGGGGATTCCCCGTGCTTAGGAAAAACCTAAATTATCATTTGTATTTTCTCAAAACCACAATCACAATCACGTGTCTCCATTGTAGAACCATCATATTGCCTCTGAGAAGATTAAGTAATGAACCGTTTAAATATATTTACAAGAAAACCCGCTTGGGGGTTAGGAATGTCAGAGTTCCCGCCTGGTTCCAATGTAGTCTAGAAGAAAATCATCTCAGTGTACCGAAAAGTTTTAACCAATCCAAACATATACAAAAACATCCGATCCTGAACTATATGCAAGGGTACCTAGTACCTTTCAGACTAATCTCCGCAAAACCTAATAAAATTTTCCTTTTGGCAAAGCGACAAATATAACCGTCAACGGCACCGTGATAATCATACTCCAAGCAAGAGCCCCAGTCACAATCTTGTCTTGTAAGAATCTCAAGTTTTCATCTTGAGTCCAAGTAGTCTTATCGAACACCTTCCTCACTAAGTTCTTCTTCTTGTACATACTGTTCCATTTTTCCTCAAATTCTTGCACATCGTTCTTCGGGCCAAAACTCGACATAGTCGAAGTTTCAGAGATTGTGAACCCATCGCTTTGCTTATCATGATCGTCGCCTGTGCGAGTCGTCATTTTGATGCGTCGTTCCGATGAACTCTCAAAAGAATGTCGTCCACTTTCCTCATCGGCGGCCTCTTGTTGTAGAATTTGTTCCCAGGGCCGTAGGTTGCGATTGTGCGATTGGTGCATGATCAAGCAGAGACCTTTGTAGGCTGCTATTAAGGTACTCATTCCTAGAAACCATTGCACGCCCGCGAATATTCTCCACCACCGACTAACGCTCGATAACGTCAAAAGAATTGCCATCACAAACCCAAATATGGTATTACTGACGCCCATGGTACGGACGAAGAAGACACGAGGTTTATTGCCGTTGCATATAGACCATCTAATAAAATTCGGATGTGATTGGCCTCGAAGTGTTGCTTCAGTTATGGTCACAGCTGGTAGGAAAGCTGACGGATGGGTTGTGTGTTGAAGGGCATGTAGGCATAAAGCGCGGTCTTTGTGAGATAGGTTAAGTTCTCGAGCGGAATTGAAAGCAAGATAATGTCTCATTATACGATTCACCTCTTCTCGCATAGGTTGAATGGTGACTAAATGAAGTTAGTACTAATTTTCTTGTCCAAGAAATTCTGAACATACAAGGTTGCCATTTGAGACCTGGTTGGCTCGATCTTTCTCCCGAGCGTCCTCCAGTACTACTTGATAAAACTGAAGGAGCTGTTGGGCTACCCAGAGCACTATCGGCCCTCGATAAATTGGTACGAGACTGGCCATCCTTAGATTTAATATCTGCATCGAAGTCGGCCATATCGTTGAAGTCCGGAATATCCATTGGTGGGTTTCTTTTCCTTCCTTCATTCTTCTCTGCGTCCCTGGCAAAAGCAGAGGGCTCGGTTGTTTCCGGTACCCATTCTGGAGACAGCTTCTTTTCATAATCTGGAAGTGCCTCGAATCGACGAACATAGTCTTTGTACCATAGGTAGAATTGAAGATTCTCTGCATCGTGCTCAATATAAACAAGGAAGTCCATGAAGTCACTCAGAGAACATGGCTAAAACGAATATCAGTAAAAGACTTCTTTTTCAATGGAGAGACTTCAAACTTACTGGAAGAGATTGATTTTCGAGCACGTCTTCAAACCGTAGCCCGGGCGGAATTGTACGTTCAGAATCTGGTGAGTGTCAGTCAAATCAACCTGGATGAGACAGGATTAACTCACTTTTCGCTCTTGCAGCATATCGTTGACATTCCGTAGCATTTAAAGGACCATTGGTTTTGTTGGTATAATCTGGTCTTTTGTAAAATAGTACAGACATGGCTAGAAGCGTCTACCCTTTAGGTAAGATAGCTCGCGGTCTAAGAGATGAGATATAAAAGCAACTTATTCTCTTGAATTGAGATAAGTATGAGGGGGCGCGGACCAAGTGAATGTAAAAAGAAATAAAGATAGCACCCACGTTAGACAATGCATATTGCCATGTGGAGGTGGAGGTGCTATTTATTATATGCATATTGGCAACTACTGTCCCCAGCTTCAGTGCAGAAGAAGCCAGTCATAATATCCGAGTGCTTCTCAAAATAGTCAAGGCGATTGCTCTAGTTTAACGGTACCTGAGTTTTCTTTCGAAGCTTACTGCCCCTATGAGGGGCGAGAAGTAAATATCAGGCTTGATTAGTTTCTCATAGTGTGGTGTCTTGGCCCAACAAAGCGTACCGCCAAAGCTAAAGGTTACCAATACCAGTTTTATGGTGGATACATCTTAGTGTGACCCTTATAAAATCTTTTCCGCAGGATGAAGCGAGTAGAGTATTAAATGAGTGACAAGGTAATATTGACAAGGGCTCCTGGCTCAACCGAATCTAGATAATCTTCTTGATGAACAGTACCTAGTAGATCCTAGGGCTCGACAGAGAGCAATCGAAGAAGATGATGTGTGGCTCTTCTTTGCCATTCATATGACGTCCGAGCCCGACAAAATCCCACGGCCGAGTCGCACTGCATATGGGGTGAAAGCCGTGCACATTTGTAGCATACCCCGGTTGACTCGTGGAAATTGATCTATGAATTGTTAGTCTCAAGAATGTGTAAATCCGAAAAGTCAAAAATCAAAAGAGGAATCCTTTTCTGTCCCTGACTTCGTCGCAGTCCTATCAATTCATGTAGTAATAAACGCCCTATAGCCACCGTTATGATGGTGTCCAGCAAATAGCTCATAATACTTCTAGACTCCGGTGAAAAAAATCTAGCTCTTTTACTCATCCATTCCACTCTTCAGGTCATCGGCTATCAGTATTTTGGCGGGTTGCCACAAAATCATGAATTGAAAAGACTTTGAACAGTGATTGGCGAGAAGATCACGTCAATGGAGAAGCAGAAAGCCAGAAGTATATCAAATTGTACAATTGTGCCACTTGATATCCACCTAGATCGGGATCAACCTTGAGATGTTGAGATAAACGAACACAGCATCGACATCGAGGTGATCGCCATAACTTAATATCGCAAGACCCTCATTTTTACACGACGGTGATCATCCAAAGCCAATAGAGGCTGAGAGGATGTCAATGTGACGGTGATCAAAATACTTGAAGAGAAGGTAGAGATGCGGTAATGAAGTTGAGACTCTTTTTGCCATCGGAGAAACGCGCTATCCAGCATTTCAGCTCGACAGTTGACGGCTGTTTTTACATTTCTGATACGCCTTGGCAGTGTATAATTTCCTTGATTGACAGATTGGGGCTGTTTGTGCCTCGTCTAATATTTTTTTGATGGTTAAGTGGGAAAAAACAGATGAGGGAATATCGTTGCATCAATGCACAAAGGAAAGCCCCACGACGCCTCGAGCCATGCAGATTAGGATGGATTCATCGCTTCGAATGGTCCGGAAGTGGCTATGTACATGGTATGTCAAGGAAATATCCGATCCAACGAGATTCGAAGACAGATCGTTGTGGTCTATTCTTCTCGAACGGTTAAAAAACAGGCTCTTGAAGTTAGGTATGAGAAAAGTTCAGTGTCGGTTAATTAATTACAAAAGATGATTAATCAATGTCTCACATTTTATGAGTAGCTCTGTCAGTCACTAATTCCACACATCAACTGCCGTTCATCCAATTCGCGGAAACAGTAGCATCTCTTCATTTTAATTCGCCAACTACTGATCGTTAAACACTAGCATTCCACTGGCGTCATCAATAGTCCTATGCCCGACAATGTATTCAAACTACTATTAGAGCATCCCCATCACAGCACCAATGAAGACTAAGAAACCAAACGCCGAAAAGGGATAACCAGCACGCCAAAATGTCGATATGATAAGACGTGATCCTTGCGCTATTTCCCCTTCTCTTGGTACTGGAGCAGCTGGCCAGGGTGTCACTGTTGGTCCATCTGACGGCCGAACGGAGGAAGGTTGTTTAAACACCGGAATACATTGATCTCTGTAACAAGTTGTCGAATTTGGACAACAACCTCCTCCCATGTCTCCTGGGCATTCAAAATAATTAGGCCTACATCTTGCATGCGCTCTTAAAAGACGACAATTGGAATGTGATAACGTTCGATTGCAACAGTATATACCTGACATCGTGTGAGTTGTAGGTCGACAGATCATGCCTCGAGGACAGCAAATTTCCTGTAGCAAAGAAGGCATGGTCAGCAAAGAAAGGGAATCCTACTTCGAACAAAAACTCACTGGATGGGCGTATGCTTCACAGCTGTTTTGCTGATCCCCGCAGGTGTACCAAGGTACAGTGGCTGGCATTCTTAGACTCAACGCGAACATCGAACTGTGGTTTTTCAACTGTCTTGATGGCAGACAGACTTCCGAAAAGCTCTGCACTTGATCAAATTGTTCTTGACTTCTTCGCTTCAATTTGAGCCAACCTTGCCCTCCCATCTCATGATAGTATACATGGGCGCTGCAGACAAATCCAATTATCATAATGATAACTAGTAGACAAGCAAGGTAACATAGCCATCCACGCCAGCTTAGAGACTCTACGCACGCCTCTATACAATACCTTGAGGCCAGCTTCCGTGTGCAAGGCCTTGGTTCATTTGGATCAGACGTCAGCTGAGATTCTACCGGCTCCAATGATGATGGATCCTGGTTGAGATTCAGGTGTGCTTGCTGCGGTTCCTGCGGAGGTGTTGGCATCGAGATGATGGTAATTTAAATATACACGAATAACTTGAAATAAGAGCATTAAAGCGAATATAGGTTGAATCCAGCGGTGTAATAGAAATTGAGGTGACATTTGGATATGAGAACAGACGGGGATATAATTCAGGGTGAAATGACGAGCATGATGTATGGAAATCTCGAAATGATATAATGAGATGTCTAAAGCTCCCTACGCAAGTGACAATAACTGGAAGGTATGCCTTTGAAACAGAAGGAACGATGGCATTACTTTCCAACCTGTTTTGACGGCTACTGCAAACATTTCGCGGAACTCACCAACTCATCCGCGACTCTATCACAACAAATTATGAATCTGAAAGATTTTGTATTATCGGCTTCAAGGCAGCAGGTAGGAGACGGTGGCTATTTCTCTTTGGTTATTTAAGGTTTACCTCGTCTTAAGAAGTCTCCTGGTATCAATCTCCACGTGGATGAGAATAAGCTACACACCAAAACGGGACACCAAGCATCCAGTCGTTGGTATAAATGTCCAGCTATTTGAATGTCAAATCTGAATTGGAATGTTGAAGATAGCTTGGAGACTTAGAGATAAGATATTGTTATAGCTTGGTGCGCAGCTTATGTCGTCCATTGCGTGCCAATATATTAGGAGAGTGCGATGTCGACACCAACATCCAACAGCTTGCTTCATATATTCATAAAACTCTTGATCTATCCTGATGATCTTCTAAACCAGATGTGTGTGGTTGATCTTAAGATGTACTGACAGACAAGGATGAAAATTGTAACGAATAGGATAATAGCATTTCCAACAATAGCCCTGTTCGAGTGTAACGGTATATTTTAGCCGTCTATGTCTTAAGTACCTCCCAGAGGACGGAGTTACATAATTATGATGAAGATATAATAATCCGATTTCCTTCCAAATAATCTAACGTTCATATATCTTCGTCTTTGAAAGTATGGAGATCAAAATGGAGAACCCCATTTTACCCCCTATTCGCTCCACAGACTCTTACCAATCAAAAGCCCGCATTTGTACCTCGGCATCCGGGTCCCATTGTCAAGAAGCTCCAAACTCTATGCATCAATACCGGCGCATGTGCCAAACGCCTTCGAAACTATTGTTGACCGAGGGCCGATTTCATTGAACAAAAGAATCCCTTATAACTTTTGATTCCCAACATCATAACCATCTTTCTCTATATCAATCATTCAAAATGTCACCTCCGCAATGGGTCAAAGATCTGAAGCCATCCGGTCCGCAAGGCACTGAGCTCATCAAGGTGGAAAGGGAGAAGTCTAACATACATGTCGAAAAACTCTCGAACTTTTTATTCACCAAAGAGGTATTAGAGCGTCAAGAACGCATATTGAAGATCTTGCAAGCCGACAAGATATTCGACAAATCAAATAACTATTTCGATGGTCGAGTAGATAGATTCAAGACTTCTCTCGCAAGGGCGAAGAGACTTCGTCAACTACAAGTCAAGCATAACTGGAATCAAGAGGAGTATCAAGTGGCAAATGAGCTCATTAGCGAGCCGACTCCTTGTATGTAACTCCCAAAACCTTCAATGCCTTTCAAAAAGAATACTAACATCAAGTTTAGACGGGCTTCATGCTTCTATGTACCTCACCACCCTGCGTGGCCAAGGCACACCTGAACAACACAAGTTATTCCTCGAACCCGCCGAGAACTACAAGGCGATTGGATGCTATGCACAAACCGAATTGGGACATGGATCGAATGTGCGAGGCTTAGAGACGACTGCTACCTGGAATCCCGAAGACAAGACATTCATTCTTCACTCGCCACATCTCACTGCGTCAAAATGGTGGATCGGGTCTTTAGGAAGGACTGCAAATCATGCTGTGGTTATGGCACAACTTATTATTGCTGGAAAGCCATACGGCCCACATCCTTTCGTATGCCAGATCAGAGACATGAAAACCCATGAGCCATTAGATGGTGTTTACGTAGGTGATATTGGGCCTAAATTTGGCTACAATACAATGGACAATGGGTTCCTGTTATTGAACCAAGTCAAGATTCCACATATTAATATGTTGGCCAAATTCTCTAGCGTTGACCCTGAAACAAACAAATACGTCAAGCCGTCGTCACCATCTTTGATTTACGGTACTTTGACTTGGGTCCGATCAACCATCGTCCTACAATCGGGTGGTGTTTTAGCTAGAGGTGTGACCATTGCAACAAGATATGCCTCTGTCAGACGGCAATTCCAAGATCGGGATGCTGAAGCTGGTGCATCTGAGGAGAACCAGGTTCTTAACTACACAATGGTCCAATATCGATTATTGCCATTGCTTGCAGCCACGTTTGCTTTGCACTTTACAGGAAAGGCCATGATGGGGCTGTACCAAGATAACCAGAAGCGAATGCAACAAAGTGCTACAAATGCTTCTGATAGCAGCAGGGGTGCAGGTCCAGAGGAACTCAACTCGGGGAGTGATTTATTGGCAGATCTACATGCTACATCGTGTGGTCTCAAAGCTCTTGGAAGTACTACAGCCGCAGAAGGTCTCGAGGTCTGCCGTAGAGCCTGCGGTGGTCATGGATACTCAAGCTTCAGTGGTATCGGAAGCTGGTATGCTGATTACCTTCCAACCACCACTTGGGAAGGTGACAACTACATGCTCACGCAGCAAGTGGCTCGATACCTTCTCAAATCTGCTCGCGCAGTGTTGAAAGGAAATGCTCCCAACAACGACACAACTAAAATATTCACAACTTTCCTTCAAAAGCAAGATATGGGTGCAGCTCACGATGTTCTCGGCTCAGACAGTGACATCGTTGCTGCTTTTGCATGGAGAACATCCTTCTTAACCTTTGAAGCCCTGAAACATCGTGACGCCGAAAAGGGATCATGGAACTCTCTCCTTGTTGACTTCTGGCGCCTCAGCACTGCGCACTCTCAATACCTCGTCGTCAAAAACTTCTACGACGCTCTTCAAAGCGAGTCTCTCCGACACGAGCTTGATGCCGAGACCATTGATGTTCTCCACAAACTCTACCGTCTCTATGCTCTGAATACTCTTGAGAAAGAGGCATCAGAATTCTACTCCTCGTCTGCTGTTACTGTGCGACAGATCCAGTTGGCGAGAACCAAGAGCGTAATGAAGTTATTGGGAGAGATTAGACCACATGCATTACGTCTTGTTGATGCATGGGCATTCCCCGACTGGCAACTTGATTCATCGCTGGGTAGAAAGGATGGAAAGGTTTACGAGGATATGTTCTATAGAGCTAGTCAGTTGAATCCGTTGAACGGGCTGACAGTTGATCCGTATGCGGACAACGATAACATCGTCAAGAGTGACGAGACGGAGAGGTTTAGGAGTAAGTTGTAAAGAGGGCTTGTGTATTTGTATTATATCATCGTGTAGCATTCGGGGTTTGGTTAGAGAGGGAGCGTCAAGCATTTTTTTACATAACACAGATAGAGGATTATATACAATAGAAGGTTTAGAGATATGATTATAGAATCTCTACTATTAATTTGACCGTCTTCAGTCGTATCCTGAGTGCACTTGATCCAAATATGATATATCGATTTCCTGTATAAAGATGGTGTACCATGAGCACCACAAACTCATAGCCATCACTGTCATAGTACTCAGAGTTCCTATAGCGAGACTAGATGTCATCAATCTAAAGGATAACCAAGTCTTGACCCGCTGACGAAGAAGTGACCGTAACCACGAGCAGTCAATATAAAATAACCAACAAGCTCCTATCAAGACGGAAGCGCTATCTATCTGCTCAGAGTCAGAACACAAACCTCAATCAAATGACTAGATGCTTGAAAGTTTCTAAACTGATTTAGGCGGCAAATACTTCACCAAACTCCACTTCTTAAACACACAATCGAATACTCGTAGTGATTGAGACGACTCAGATATCAGGATTATACATAGCCACGCAATTTCAAACTTTCAACTTCTACCAAAGCTACCAGTTCAGCCCAAATATGCACTCCAAGGTGTCAGCCTGAAAGCTTTTAGAGAATAGTCATCAATGTTACAAGTAAAGATTTCGGAGTTCCATTCGCATGAGATATTGCATTGGAATTGACTAATGGAAAGATATTACGCATTTATGGATGAAACTGGCTTGGCATGGGCTTCTAGACTTATGATGTCCTCAGTCTTGGTCATGGCCCTTCGAGCTGATTTCCTCTACATTTGTGACAGATCGAATCTTTTGGGCTTCTCATTTACAAGGATAAGTCCCAAACAGTATTCAGGGCCTTAAAACAATGCGTCAGAATGAGAATTGGGCTATAGGAATCCATCGATGCCTCATTTGACAATCGATGGTGGAAATGAAAAAGAACCAATAATTTCAAAAGTCATCACATTTTTGAGTCTGTTTCCCAGTCATGGGATTTGTATTCATAACCTGTAATTATATAACAAGTTGGAATTCTTGCCCATCTTCAACTCATAGATTCTTTTCTTCCTAGAACAATGCCTGATGCCATCACGCAGTTAAGGTGTAGCGCCAGTCAATGTACTATTCAATTCAGGGCTTAGATTTGGAGTCTCTCGACCTTATCCTTCAAGCTTCTGATTTGGCCCATCAAGTCGGATGCCTCGTTGGTGGTGATGCTTGCTGCGATAACAGCTCTGCTAACACCGCATGCACGTCCCAAAGCAGTCTTGGATGGCACGTAAACGTAAGGGGTGTTCTTGTCTTCGCAGAGAAGAGGAAGGTGGAGAAGGATAGCCAATGGGGCAGTGTCGGCGGCGAGGATAACAATTTCGCTGATACCACGGTTGAGGGTCTTGGTGGTCTCGTTGGCTCCCTTCTTCAATTGACGGTAATGTTGAGCTTGTTGAACGAGATCGAGGATCTCTTGGGAGAGAGTGCTATCGGCTGAAAAGTAGCGTATTAGTAAAATGCAGGTCGTAGAGTGTCTGTATAATTCTTACCGACGGGCCAAGCAGCGGATTCGTTTTGTTCTTCAGCCATTGTGATTTTGGTTTGGAATTGAATTTACTGTAGATAAAAATGTTAGAAGTTGACCTCATCGAATTGAAGACTTTGCGATCGATCCAATTGGACAGAAAGGAATACGTACAATTTGTTGGAGGATGTACTGAGATGATAAGGATTTCTTTAGAAATACTCTTTCAGGGTTCCTTGCGTTGGCTCGCCCTGTGGGTTGACTTGCAAAAAATGGTAGTGATGAAGTTGAAAATCTTCTGGTATTTTTTTCTGAAGATTAATCTTTATCGGGTGCCTCAAAAAGGCTTCGCTTACGTTGCGCGCTAATCCATAACTTGATTGGTCGAAAAGCTAAGCTTGCCAGAGAAGCCTCATCAAACAACTCGTACAAACCACCTTGAATCACTGATCATCATCTATCCATCAACTCTCCAAGCTCAACTTTCATCAACCCAAATCTTCAATCAATTCCTCAAAAGCTTCTTCGAACTTCATATACCTTTAATAATCTAAGCACCACCTTCTCTAATACCTTCAAGATGTCTGATCTCTGGTATGTCAACAAACTATCTCCTTGACGCCTCCCGCTTCTACTACCTACCTGCCTTGCTTTCGAGATAAGAATCTCTGAAGTTGGCACTGATATATATGATCGCGATTATTTCCATGCCTTGATTCAAGTACTGACAGCAATAATGATAGTCCCGTCTACGCGGTTAGTTACCCTCGAATGCCACCTCCGATGTGCTTTCCAACCAACCGATGATTCGATATCCAACAACTTGAAATCATCATCTGTATCAACGCATCATGCTAATTAATGTATAGCCATTCTTCGGCGCCATGGGATGCACATCCGCCATCGTCTTCACCTGTTTCGGTGCTGCTTACGGAACTGCTAAGTCTGGTGTTGGTATTTGCGCAATGGGTGTTCTCCGACCCGATTTGATCGTCAAGAGTGAGCCATGTTCATCATCGGATCTTTGAGAGTCCTACTAATGTGTTATATAGACATTGTTCCCGTTATTATGGCTGGTATTATCGGTATTTACGGTCTCGTTGTTTCAGTCTTGATTTCCGATGGGCTTAAACAAAACCTCGCATTATATACTGGTTTCATTCAACTTGGTGCTGGTCTCAGTGTCGGTCTCGCTGGTTTGGCTGCTGGTTTCGCTATTGGTATTGTTGGTGATGCAGGTGTGAGAGGAACAGCACAACAACCACGTCTTTTCGTCGGAATGATTCTGATTTTGATTTTCGCTGAAGTTTTAGGTAAGATTGAAGGTTCTTATATTGAGTTGAACAGTGACTGACATGAATAATAGGTCTTTACGGATTGATTGTTGCTCTTCTCATGAACTCCAAGGCTTCTCTAGATGTTACATGCAATTAACGTCACTTCATACAGAGAGAGCCTCGAGACAATCTGAACGCACACCTCTCTTCTGCAACAAATTGTGAATATATGAATGGGTTATAATGATGGCCTTTGGGGATGGACTCGGGATGGAAGCTATGAATTGAACAATTCATGGCTAAAAATATATGTATTGTTGTTATTCTACAAATTTCGGCGTTTCCGACGTGCATTAGAAGTAGAGATGGAGGTGGAGGAGGGTCAAATTGACCGTGTATGCTAGTAGTTTCTATTGTTGGTAGCAATCATATGGTATTGGGTTTTCATTTCAATACAGAGGATCTCACGTATGCAATCTGTTGAGTCTTTGAAAGTTTTGACATTTCTAAAGATTCTGCGTTCTAATAAAACACCCGAATTTTGGGGGCGAGATCCAACACTCTAAGCGCTACGAAAACTCAACCTAGTTCGTAGCTTGTAATCACTATAAACCCGACCCATATGTCACAAACATGAGAAGATCCTTTGAAGATCATTATTTAGATACCAAGAGTGTGAGTTATTTTTGGGTAAGGTAAAGAAAAATGAAGGTACCAAAATGTACAGGTCGGCTTATCTGTGCTGCACCTTCCCGCTTCCCTCCCGAATAGCTCGGGATTACCTATACACATGATGGCGGATCTATAAAACTGCAAGACGCCTACCGATGGCATGGAATTGGCACTCTCATCCTAGCTAAATAAATTGTCTATAGTAACGTTGTCGGCGTGAACGTATATCATTTTCAGATTTGAAGATACCGTTTGCATTTGCCTTTTCAAACTGCCGGGAAAGTATTCTCCTATATCGGCCGACTCAACCCCACATCTATGGGGTAGTGTGATGTGGGTGCAAGTTATATATATGTACACGTCGATAGCCACAGGTAGTTGTGTTAAATCCTCTCCAGGTTTTGATACAATAATATGAAGTTTCGTAGCAGATATCCCATTTCTCTCGTCTCTTTCTCTCAAACTGTCAAGCAAACAACTTTTCGATACCATCGACTTCCGACACAAACACAACTCCACTTCATTCACCAAACCACATACACCAAAATGCGTCTTCCATATGCTGATCCCTCTTCCCCAACCTTCTCCTCTCCCTCTGACCGTGCAATAATCGAACGTGTTGAAGCGCGTCGCGCACCACGACCTCTTCAAGCACTGGACTTGACCTTACTACACAGTCTCCCTGTAGCAGATGGCTGGAACTCATTTCTTGGAGCAGTCAGGACACAAACGAGCCTGGCTGATGATATCAGGGAGATAGCGATTTGTAGAGTTGCTATCTGTAACACGGCTTGGTATGAGTGGGGACATCATGCGCCATTAGCGAAGAAAGGAGGAGTTAGTGATGAGGGCATGGAGACGCTTCAGAGGGAAAAGTGTGAGAGGGAGGGAAGTGGTGATGCGAATGGAGATGCAGAGGGACTGAGCGCGAAACAGTGGGCTGTGATTAAGTATACGGATGAGATGACTAGAAATGTTAGGGTGCCGGATGAGGTCTTTGACGAATTGAAAAAGTGGTTTGATCAGAAGGAAATCGTCGAGTTAACGGCTACGGTATGTTGGATTTTCCTTTGGAGATATTAGAGAATCTTGAGGAGACACTTGCCAGTAGTGTGAAAAGGAGTGGAGTGGAGATTAGAGGGAGATAAGATGCATCTTGAAGCTGAGAGTGAAAGCTAATACTGAAATATAGGTTGCAGCATACAATTGCGTTAGCAGATTTCTGGTAGCTCTTGATGGTAAGTCTTCTCATGCACCTTTCATACGTACACCCTCTCGCTTGGCTTCCAATGAATCCATTGCTTCTCTCTTCTTTACTAACACGCCTCACAGTTGGGGAAAAAAATAAGCTAAGCGGCCCGGATGATGTGGCTCATTAAACTCGTCTGTTGGTTGGAGAATTTAAATACCGACATATATCCACAACTGTATTTTAAGATTCCGAGATTCGTGTATCTGGTCATGATTCTTTACCCGATGCAAAATGATAGACTTTCAAATATCCATGGTATCCAATCCTATTGTGAGTATCAAACAGAGGCCGCTACGCCATTTGGAACACAGAATATGCAAGAACATCTATATGCAGCAAAGTTGGCGAAAGTCAGAGAAAGATCAGCAGGTTTACAGCGGCTCAACGACGATGCATTATTTGAGCTCGGATCTGATATCGGCTCCCCCGACTTGAATCGCACAAGAAGCATGCGTGGTCTTCCCGTCTTCTTTCTCTTCGACTAAAACTCTTTCCCTTTCGAATTCGAATGCATATCCCCGCTCCAATGATGATACCTTTTTCCTTACCATCATCTCACTCGATATTTTACTCACTGCCAACGCTCCAAGAACACTCAATTGTTGAATGATTACTATTCATTTCACTGTTACCCATCACTATCTCTTCAACGATTCACTTTTTCCCTCCCCTCTATATTCCCCTCTCACCTACTTACCATATATTCAAGCTTTTCTCTTCCCCTCCTTAGAGTCGATCTCCCCACCACACTCCGAAACCACTTATACCACACTTCATCACATATCAATCGTGTCCGTGGTTCGTAAAACTTGCAAATTCTGTGTTTCTTCATGCATCTTCCTGCACCTGTGCAGATTAGATTAGATTGGCGTTGTGTTACTGGTCAATAGGTGGTAGTTGACTGAGCTTGTTCTATGCATTGCAACGTGTCAATTCATACCGGGCTTTATGTGCGGTTTAGAGTTGTAAATTAAAGTAGACAGGCAGAAACTCCATGTGCACATGCAATGAAGTGGTTTACAATAATAAGCCTCAAGGTTTGTGGTACGGTTATTGAGAATACATTATTTGGGATTGTCATAAGATTTACTCGATCCACTCCATTCTATGTTAGAGGTGATATTGAAATTGTGTTTTGCCGGGCCTATGACATTGAAGCTTCTGATGCGTTGAGTACATATTTGATACCGTGAGATATCTCATATTTAGCACGTACATGCAATGCAGATGTTCAGAAGTCCAGACACCTATCAAAGGTACTCGTGTTTTCCCGATGTACAAGACTACGCCTCGTATTATATCAACACACCATAGGAGCATGACAGATCACGCCATACACGTCAAAACCCCTCTCGCATTCTACCAGACTCTCGCCACAAATCTCAAAGATTTTCCTCTGGAGCAATACGATTTCTTGGTTGGTGTCCAATTCCCTCCAGACCGACGTACGCGAATGGAAGGAGGGGTAAAGAGAGCGTTACCTTGACGTAGGTAATGGCGAGTTTGATTGTTCCCCTCCACAAACTTCTTTGCCGTACATCTAGATATGTAATTTGCGAGAATTTTTATGCACATGTACCTCGTAGTTCTCAAGCCACTTTACTGCACTGCTATGCAGATATCCTGGTTACCTAGTACTTTCCAGAAAACAGAAAAGCAGGAAACAAAACAGAACAGAACAAAACCAAAAAAAAAAGAACCTCTCCATATCGTTGTCAAGGTCACATCCTACAGAATATTCCAGTACACAGAACATGCTCATCATATACCAAGCCGCATCACCGTCACTTTTTCCTCTTCATTCTTTTTTACAAGTTAAAGTTGATTAAAGATGCTTTAGTTTGGTGAGGCTCTCGGGAAAAGTCATCTATAGAGTGAGAAATACTTTACTTTTGATATCTAATTATATCTTGCGCTCGAATTGCTCTCCAGTTCGCGCTCAAGATATCGAAGTCTATCAAGCAAATTTATCTATCAACTTAGCGTAAAACGCAACCTTTCCATCACTATAGAGCCTTAAAGCAGTAGCTATTTGTTGCCTTTGTGTATCGCTCAGGGCTTCTGAAAGAGAATATTTATGGTCATGATTACTTTGACTCTCTACCTGCTTTACAGCGACAATATATTCAGCCTGGTCGGTGAAATTTTTGAATCAATACAGGAATTATGTGTAACCCATTTCCATCATAGTTAAAAGGTGCGTTCATAGCAGGCGGGTCCCCGAGAGAGTTAAAGGGAAGTCTCCAAATATCTCCCAAGGTCCAGCAAAAGCCATTTCCCAATCAATTCAGCCAACAATCCTGTATTTGGCGTCAACAATAATGTTTTTGCGACCAAAATCACCGTGACAAAGGGGAAAGGGGCCGTTATCACGGACGGAAAGTTTGCTGGCTATTTTGCTGACGGCTGCTGGAAACAATACTACTCTGGGGATGATTTCAGCAGCATATGGACCGGATGCTGCTCGCAATCTATCTTCTGACATGCGAAATTCAACACTGGATGCCCAAGCTGTATAGAATGCGGTTGCCGTATCAAATGGACCACCTATTCCTGGGATGGGGCCTTACCCATACGTGCCGTCCTCATTGATGGAGATGATTGTTCTAATCTTGGGTAACTGCACTGCGGATACTTCAACCTAGAAGGATATATGTCAATGGATTATCCAAAACTTAATACCATCATTTACGTGTATTTTTGCCATTCCGTGCAAACAAGTTTGCATATACTCTCGCAGTATCTCCATACCCACATCCATCCCAACATTACCCTCTAAACAGTCCATCAAGATGAACGGTACTCTCACAATGCTATCGTTACTCATCTTGAAAGCATGGACTTCAGGAGTTATTATGCTTGACTGTTGTCGCACAAAGGATATTGCATTGAGCTCACAACTCGTTTGTCTTTTGACTGCGGCCTCATCGTAAGTCGATTTTCCTAGACGAGGCATTTAAACGCGCGCTACCCATCGAACTTTGTCAGTAAATTCGATAATGCGCACCATATGGTTGTAGCCGAGATCAATGTCCGGAAGTAAAATGCAATTGGTGGTCGGGTGTCTGAGTTTCACTTCGTTGCTGCGTATTCCAGAAGTCCGGGCCAATTTACAGATGCTAGAAACGTCTGAGTGCGAGAGCGAAAGCGCACCCTCTTGCAATGAGAATGAGTTCCACTGGTTCCCGGAAAAGTTATCCTCTTTCCCTAATCTTTATCAGTGTACAAACTTGAAGGTGATTCTTTAGAAAGAGCTCACGGGCAGTATCAATAGATTCCATGATCGAAGCACTCTTTGTTGGACATAAACATGACGGTTCGAAAGAATGATCCAGTAGATGGAATAAAGAGACATTGTAACCGATCTCAAATGTCTAAAGTAACCAGCCTCGCCAGCGTGGATTCCTCGGTTCGTTAAACAATGTTTTTAAGTTTTTGAGTGGAAGTTTTGCTGACTTCAAAAGTACTGCCTTCATATTAAGATTGAAATCGTAAGCAGTCCCAGATACGCTTTTTCCCGTGAAGGCTGTTTGCAAACATCAGTAAAAGACGAGGCTGCCTGCCAGTCTTTGGAGAACCAATAATACAAAGTAAGCAGAGAGAAATTATGGTGATCACATCTAAAACAAATAAGGTTAATAATTAGAATGCTTGTTACTCGAGTATATAAAACTCCCATGCAATATACCTACAACTACACACCTCCCTTACCCCTCTTCTTCCAAATGTCCATGTCATGTATAAGTAAGCCCATGTATATGTCATCTGAGCATCTCCGCTTCACAAATGGAAGTCCATCTCTACTATGGGGCTTGAGCGGACTTCTCGTTTGGGCAAGGTACATGGCGGTGCATATTCGACCAGTCTTGATACTTATTTTGACACATGTAAGATTCGTGTATGTAAGCGGGACGAGAATGGCAAATGTGTCGTGTCACTGGTGGGACAAGGAAGATGATAAGAGATCGTTATCCTGCTGCATCTTCATCTGCAGAAGGGCTTGGAACTAGTATGTATACAGAAGTTTCTCGGATTCTTATTTTTGGATGGACTGATGGTACAGGTATCATTGTTAGATATGTGCCAAGATACCCAAGAGGAAAATCATGGGGAGAGTTCGTGATACGGAAATAATCATTATGAAAACCAGTTCTAGTGCTTCAATAAAAATACTTTTCTTGGCTTCTCCTTTCCCAATTCTATGAGAGATGCATTAAATACATCACGCTACTGAAATCTAACGAGGGAATTAGCTCGAATCAGCGGGCGGAATTGCAAATACGTATACCCCGCCTTCTCCCCTTTTTTTCCCCAAACGGACACCACCTTAGGATGCACACAACATTTGGAAAGAAAAAGCTTTTTCCTCATGCCATGTCAACCATCGCTAGGGTTACATACATGGATAGTATCGTGTCACCCTATTTCCAGATACCTACTCTACCCAGTACTCGAGCCAATGGTAAGATTACCATTTTCGGTTTGTGCACGCGAAGGTTTCTGCACGTTTGGTTTCCTAGTGGATACGTACGGATTGGACCCTTGACGCTAATACTTCACTGCCAGCATGATGTGTATGTACCGGTGCTAGCGTTAAGGGCCTGGGTATGGTTGAATGTTTCCGGGTAATATATTATATCTTTGCTATACGAGTATCTTTGTATTCCAAACTACTGGATTGGGAAGAGTTCGGGAATAAGATGTGATGAGGTGAAAAGTTCCTGGTCTGCTGAGTCTGCGAGCCCCATAGCTCAGCTCTTCTCCAACAGAGAGAAATCGAAAATATGCCATATGGAGACTAGGAGATCAGGATTTTCTCTCTCGATGTGCTAGAGACTTTACGAGGAGCATTATGTGACACAGTCAGAAGTTTAATGTGGGACAAACATTGGGGGCGCAGGATTTCCACGTTTTCTTCCCCCTGGGATGGGGATTCGAGACTGATGGGAAGGAATGGGATTGGGATAATCTTTTGGGCGCTCTCGATGGATGAGCTCATGAATGGGGACTTGGCATGTGGTGTGAAGATCCGAGGATGCAAATTCAATGATATGTGTCGTTGTGAAACGTAACGGGGATAGAGATGGAAATGGGCGTAGGGTGAGGGTGTAGATATCGATACGAACACCAAAAGTAGGGGATCCTTTCGATCGTGACAGAATAATTACGATTTCCCATAATGGCATTCCAACTTCCCCAAGGTACCCATTCGATATCCTCGGTATTCAACCCATCTTATGCATGCATTCCCAAACCCTCAGTGCAACATTAAACTCTAGATATCTCAGCCTCATTTCAGTAACACACACCTCGAAACATCCACCGAATAGCTCAAAGCAAGAATTCCGCCATCTCGTCATCGAATTATCCCGAGAAAATGAAGGTTCTATGAGCAGATAAGCTTAAATCCCATACACTCTCTACTTGTATCTCTGAGTGTATGAAATATATGAGAATATATCATGAATGATGCTATCTACGACGTCTTTTAGGATTTTCTAGAATCAAGCGAATGAGGCAAATATTCAAGGACTTCGATTGTTCAACCACCACGGCGCTAATTCCGATAGGGAAAAGAATCGGATCGTACATTTGTAGATTCTAAATCCTTCCCGCTGCAGTGGCCACAAGTAACAAGCAACAAAAAATAAAAAATGGATGTCTTGCGAAATTATTTAGATGCTGACGTTTGAAGCTGGTGAAAAAAATCCTACGGTAACTATAAAGGGAGTTGGGAATTTTCCCGAGCTGGAGATGAGATGGGATGGGATGGGATGGGATGGGATGGGATGAGATGGTGAGATCTGCAGAGTGGGGGTTCTTCTTCTTCTCTTGCTTGGGCGCGCGCACTGCGCAGGGGTCTCGTGTACTAGCGAGCTGGTAAGAATCCTACAGACGTTATTTTAATGTTAGGGCTAGGCTGTGTTTGGTAATGGCGGCGCGAGCGTCGTGGAACTCTATTGTAAGCCGCAATTTTTGGAGGGTTGGTTTGGGGAGATATCGAGATGGGTTTGTTCTTATGGGGTGACTGTGGGTTGGGGTCGTTGTGTTGTGTTGTGGTAGAGTTAGAGACGCTCTTGATATGGCAGGTTGGAGTATGGAGACTACTATGGACTAGTGATGTTACGAATAGAATACTATGTCACGATGCGACCAACATGTCTGGAATATTCGAATGCATGGGAGAGTAACGTTCCTATGTTACTTAGGTACTGTTATCTATCTGCATTGCCAAAATAACGGGCAAACATAACATGGATCTACCGTATCTACAACTCGCTTGGATAAGGTTAATCTACCCATTTATTTCATCACTCCGCAGCCACCACGACACCGGGCCAAACTCGTCTTCTCTACCTCCAAAGAAGAAGAAGAAAAGAAAATCCAATAATATACACACACCAGCGTAAGTCCGAGGAACGGTTCTTGGCAGTCAGCCTGCATGGAAAGTACGAGGGACACGAGGATGAAAACAGCAATAAAGCAGAACGAGGAATCCAGGATGTACGCGCTAACGCGAGCTAGCGATCTTTACCGAGCGATGAGATTGTAATGTCAGCAAGACGAGCGACCGGGGGCACACTGACTGCTCATAAAGTAAGCACTCCCAATTTTGGTGAGGAAGTTTAGGTAATGAAGAAGCGCTGTCCCAGAAGCGTTGTGAGTGGATGGAAAGACCCCCACAAGGCCATGCTTGTCCGTAACCTTAATGCGCAGTGCCACCTTGCTGTGAACCCCTACCCTACCACATGAAATACAAGAAGGATTTGCAATCGGTGACTGGTGGAAGCGAGTTGTGGAGGTCAGGATCGTGGACAGAGATTAATTGCAGAGGTCATGTATCCCTAGTAATTTGCATGCAAAGTATTGTACCCATCCCATGTCCCGGCGAAAAGTGGTTACCGCTTCCTTTGAGTCTTTTGCTGTCTATCATTGGTTAGGTCACTTGCCTCAAGCGGTATTGTCTATGTTTAACAGCGGTATGCGAGTTGGAATTGTTTGATTCCGCGACAGTGATAGGGCTTGTTCATTTTGCAATATTCGGTCCCCACTCGGAATGGGCGTGGAATATCTTTGCCCGAACTAAATCCTGAAGAGAGAAGATGTAAGATTTAAAGTTACTGAGACCCCCTCCGATTATACTTGACAGATATCATTTGATCATCATAGCCTCGCAATATACAAGTCAGACTTCAACCCCTTTCCATCTCATAAAGATCAAGTGCTCCCTCACAGTATCACTATCTCACTTCTCAATAATACGACATATTTCGACATGGCAAGCGGCCACTTTCTTCATCATGACGGTTCTACCGATCAATATCTAATGCACGGAGACATGAATTTATATGACACCTCGAGCGAGTCTTCAGCAAGCTCACCACTTAACAGCAATGTATGTTCAAACTCTACCCATCACTTCTTTTCAGACCCTCATGCTTTCACAGACTTTTGATCATGTATATGGAAACGACCACGTATACGGAGGAAACACATATATGGCATATCCATCATTTCCCATACAGTATCAACCAAACGGTGTACCGGTGGGATTGATACCAGTGGAGTTAGATATCGAAGGCATTTACGAGGATCATGATCGCCGAAGGAGAAAGGGTGGAAACGACAAAGTGGTTGCTTCACACGTGCATTCGGTAAGTGGTTGACCTATCTACCGAAAGAACATGATACTGATTCCACACAGCGTCGCCGAGCCCAAAACCGAGCTTCTCAACGAGCTTTCAGGGATAGGAAAGAGAAACACATGCGTGAACTCGAGCAACGATTGGAGGAGCTTGAAGGTCGTCACAGTGAACTTTCGCGGTCATATGAGTCACTGCAAGTGGAGTATTCGGGCGTCAAGTCGGAGTTGGATCGAATGCGTAAAGGGAAGACCGATCCCGAACGTTCGGTATCGTGCTTACCGAAAGATTTTGAGCAATCCAATCTCAGGGG